AGAATAGTTATGACAGACCCTTAGTCAACAGCAATAACAGCCACACCAACACACACAAGTACTTTACACGGTACATCTCCCCAGCGCACACTCAAATAGCCTTCGAACTAACAAATGCCCAAAGTGGTGAGGAAACTCACCCTTATTTGGCCATGACTTCGGAACGAGAGTCAGCTCGGCGCCCATGAATGGAACAAAGGAGAGACGCAGACCGGTCCTGTTCGTGACGCCATTTTGTAGTGTCGAGTCAATGTTGCTAATTATTGCTGTTAAACAAAGGAGTCCGCTTATACTGAACTTTGATCATAAGTTTTATTCATGTCACAAGATTTCAGCATAAGTTTACGGATGTCATGATCACCCGGAGAGCAGTGTCCTCCAAATTACAATGTCTGCTCTCCCGTTCTTTGTCTCTAGCCTATACTTATAAGATATACAAAAATATGGGTGGCTCCCTCTACTGTCCAATCACCTGTCTCCAACGAACAGGGGTGTCACTACAAAATGGCTCCCTCTGAAACTAAATAAACATCCTCTCAGGTTCCACTTGAAAACATTAGCAAACTCATAATTCTTCATATACTACAACACAAACTGCACTTGAGTAGGGAGAGACTCCATATCAAAAACAAAAGAACAGATACTCTTCACTTTTTCTTCATTCACCCCATGATTAATCCGACGTGCATCAATATTTTTCATCTCTTCAACATCTACTTCCCACGAGACGCCAGATATAACCCCCTTGAGGGGTTCCCTGTTCCGAAGATACACACACGACACTTCAAACTTATCAAATCGGGTGAGATGCAACACACGTTCTTTCTGATCCGCAGAAGCACAAAAAATCAAAACAAGCACACCTCTCGTGATCCTCACAGCCTTCACTTTACCTAGCACCCTCTCCACCAGTTTGGATATCTCAAATGGATTATTACAATGTAACAATTCATCATTAGTACACTACCTTTACTCTGCAAATATGTGAACAAATAAGCCCTATGTGTCGCAGTATCACATGTGACAGTGATGTATTGTTTGACCCATTTGGCTCAGGAAATCCCTCTTTAATCTGCTCCCATCCATCATCCTCCTGCCAACTGGCTGACAAGGTCACTGTCTGATTCACGCCTGTCTGAGTGGACTTATCCATTGCGGAGTCCGCGGGGATGACACACCAGTATCACCAGTAGTACTTTTACCGTGAATTACCATAATTTCTAATCCACAATGTTTGTTTGGTTACAGTAATTTGTTAATGCATTCAATATAGTATTATTACAGTCTTACCGTTTGCAGAGCTCACAACCTAGGCTACACTTGTGGGGAAAAAGTTTTGGTTTATTTCATTCCATTTATGAGTTGTCAATTTATTCATTGCCATTTGTTTGGAGCTCTCCTGTCAATCTTGAGTAAGGACACGCACCTGATTACGCATAGAACTAGGCCTAGGCTACCTGGCCTGCGCGCAAATGTAGGCTTATAAATGTGCCCATTTGGGGATCTGATACTATTTCTGATTGTCTTAACTCACCATCACTGTGGAGCTTCTCAAAGTAATTTTTTCTTCGCCTCAAAAAGCTAGTAAACAAAGCCTGTTTTTACATCCATTGAGAATGATAATTGTAGCCTTTCGATTACCACTCAGCACGAAAGGGGAAAAATTGTCATGCTCTGATCTGGTGGAAATTTCATAAAAAAGGCCTACCTGATTACTTCTTATCCCTTGCGCAAATAGCCTACAGCTGTCCGGAGCTCACGGGCGCAGGAAACTCTGACAGACTAGAATATTCATGTTGTAGGCAAGCTTCAGGCCTGATCTATGTTAAAAGTTGATACAATGTTTCAAGTTCCTTGCAGACAGGCCATGCATAGCCAATGTGATTTATAGGATATGTATTTTTATCCGGATATTTTCTACCTGCGGGCTGCAATGTTTTTATTTGTTGGCTTTATGTAGGCTATTTTTTATATATTGGCAATGGCAATAGAAGTTACAAATCTAAAAGTATCATTTTCATTTAGATAGAATTTTGATTAACCACATGACATTGATTTTGAGATATGAAGACTATTATAAATGAAACTGTCCCACGAAAATCTGCATATGAAAATCATAACTGGCACGCAGATCAGTAGAAATTGTATAATAACTTGGCACTCCAAATGGAAAAGGTTTCTGACCGCTGGTTTAGTCTACTACCGGCAACTTCAGGAGCTTAATGGCAGAATCTGTGAAGGCCAGCAGCAGCGTGCAGGGTCAGAAACTTGTATTTTTATTTTTTAGTGTAGTCCTTTTGTGGCTGCATGACCCTTACTCACTTTATAGGGTTAATGAATTTGGGCTGTTCCCAACTAAAAAAAAAATCTTGGTCGACCTGAGAGTTGTCTGGATTGGTCAAAATGTGTAAACGTGTATTTTTCCATATATAGACACATTCTAGACTGATTCTACACACAAGCACCATCTAGTGGTCAGTTAGATATTTATTGGTATCTTAGCTTGGTCGGTCTTCATTATTCCCGAGACCTCAGAGCACAGCCCTTTTGTGTATAACAGTTCCCTGCCTATAGTATAATGTATTTTTGTATAATTGTAAATTATATATAGATATAGCCTTTCCTATTGATACGTTTGAATTGTTAGGGACAAAAAACATTCTCTAAATCAGGTATTTACTTTATTCGCTATCAATAGCTGTGTTACTTCATCAGTTCCTACAATGGTATGAATGGAATCAAGAATTCAACGACTCACTGATGTGAGAAGATACGTCTTTATTGAATGAAGCAAAAATAATAAAATGGAAAGAATCTCAATCCCCTATTTGGAAATAAATAATTTGCTTTCTCTCCAAACAAAATGTGTTTTTTAAAATGTATTTGTATTAGCTATGCAGCTAGCTAAAAAAAAGAATCCTCTGGTAATTAATTCATACACACCCTCAAATTCTAAATGCTTGAAAACATTTTTTGGCACAGGATATATGGGTTGCAAAAGAAAGAGAAGAAACCATGAGTTGTTGAGAAACATCTAGGGGTGCCAGGTCTAGTTCATATCATCTGGATGAATTCATTGTTAAGCCAGAGATGTAGGGGGGGGGTCTCATGATCAGCTCCAACCTGTGACATTGCTGTGTGAACAATCATTTACAAACTTCTCCTATTACGTGAATTTATATATACATTGGGGGAAAAAAGTATTTAGTCAGCCACCAATTGTGCAAGTTCTCCCACTTAAAAAGATGAGAGAGCCTGTAATTTTCATCATAGGTACACGTCAACTATGACAGACAACTTGAGAAGAAAAAAATCCAGAAAATCACATTGTAGGATTTTTTATGAATTTATTTGCAAATTATGGTCGAAAATAAGTATTTGGTCACCTACAAACAAGCAAGATTTCTGGCTCTCACAGACATGTAACTTCTTTAAGAGGCTCCTCTGTCCTCCACTCGTTACCTGTATTAATGGCACCTGTTTGAACTTGTTATCAGTATAAAAGACACCTGTCCACAACCTCAAATAGTCACACTCCAAACTCCACTATGGCCAAGACCAAAGAGCTGTCAAAATTGTAGACCTGCACCAGGCTGGGAAGACTGAATCTGCAATAGGTAAGCAGCTTGGTTTGAAGAAATCAACTGTGGGAGCAATTATTAGGAAATGGAAGACATACAAGACCACTGATAATCTCCCTCGATCTGGGGCTCCACGCAAGATCTCACCCCGTGGGGTCAAAATGATCACAAGAACGGTGAGCAAAAATCCCAGAACCACACAGGGGGACCTAGTGAATGACCTGCAGAGAGCTGGGACCAAAGTAACAAAGCCTACCATCAGTAACACACTACGCCGCCAGGGACTCAAATCCTGCAGTGCCAGTACATGTCCAGGCCCGTCTGAAGTTTGCTAGAGTGCATTTGGATGATCCAGAAGAGGATTGGGAGAATGTCATATGGTCAGATGAAACCAAAATAGAACTTTTTGGTAAAAACTCAACTCGTCGTGTTTGGAGGACAAAGAATGCCGAGTTGCATCCAAAGAACACCATACCTACTGTGAAGCATGGTGGTGGAAACATTTACATTTTACAATTTTTTTACATTTTTAGTCATTTAGCAGACGCTCTTATCCAGAGCGACTTACATGAGCAATTAGGGTTAAGTGCCTTGCTTAAGGGCACATCGACAGATTTTTCACCTAGTCGGCTCGGGGATTAGAACCAGCGACCTTTCGGTTACTGGCACAACGCGCTTACCCACTAAGCTACCTGCCGCCCCAGGTAGCTTAGTGGGGCGGCAGGTAGCTTAGTGGGTTGTTTTGGGGCTGTTTTTCTGCAAAGGGACCAGGACGACTGATCCGTGGAAAGGAAAGAATGAATGGGGCCATGTATCGTGAGATTTTGAGTGAAAACCTCCTTCCATCAGCAAGGGCATTGAAGATGAAACGTGGCTGGGTCTTTCAGCATGACAATGATCCCAAACACACCGCCCGGGCAACGAAGGAGTGGCTTCGTAAGAAGCATTTCAAGGTCCTGGAGTGGCCTAGCCAGTCTCCAGATCTCAACCCCATAGAAAATCTATGGAGGGAGTTGAAAGTCCGTGTTGCCCAGCGACAGCCCCAAAACATCACTGCTCTAGAGGAGATCTGCATGGAGGAATGGGCCAAAATACCAGCAACAGTGTGTGAAAACCTTGTGAAGACTTACAGAAAACGTTTGACCTGTGTCATTGCCAACAATGGGTATATAACAAAGTATTGAGAAACTTTTGTTATTGACCAAATACTTATTTTCCACCATCATTTGCAAATAAATTCATAAAAAATCCTACAATGTGATTTTCTGGAATTTTTTTTCTCATTTTGTCTGTCATAGTTGATGTGTACCTATGATGAAAATTACAGGCCTCTCTCAACTTTTTAAGTGGGAGAACTTGCACAATTGGTGGCTGACTAAATACTTTTTTCCCCACTGTAAATACAAACATGGTACTAAGTCATCTCACCAATTAAACATGACAATTTCCCTCATCCAACTCTCAGCCCATTTCGCAAGAAACTGTGCAAGATGGAGAAAAATAAGAGCATTCATCTTGTTAAATATACTAGTATTTCACTGAACACAACTGTGTGAGTGAATCCAAAAATATCTTATTCAATATCTCTTTTTCTAATAGCCATTATGAGAATGTTGATTTGAAAAGCAAAAAAAAACACATACAACCAATAAACAAACGAAAAAGGTAAATCTGTTGCTGATGGTGATATCAGTAGCACTCACAAAGGGGATAGCCCTGGAGATCGGAGAGAGACCAAGGAAAGGGAAGGGGTTTCATCACCGCAGTGCACTCAGAGCAGAGAACAGGAGGTGGGAACACCTGATTCCCATCGAAATTGAACTAACCGTTGTGTGTTTTGCCAAATACTAGCTGTAGGTATCTCAAACTAGTTACAACAGTTGCCCCATCCTTTGGCTATGTAAGGAGCCCCGGATAGGGCGCTTTTCAAACGGATGATGGTGCTTTTCGAAAGGATGACAATTGTGACAGAAACAGAATGAAATACAATCACCAGTACGGATCTTGGAAAAATACATAATACTTTATGAACAATGTGCTTTGGTCACACACACACACAGGGCTTAACAAGCAAAATCCAACACAAGAAGGTTATATTGTTGGTGGGTGGAGTGTTAACCAGAGAAATACAGGTAGTAGAAAATAAAATGAAGCTAAGAATCACTTATCACTGACTGTACAAAGGTTCTCTTTCCTGACCATTGACTGACTGGCTGGCTGGCTGTCTACTACTGAGTGTGTGGTTTCGGGGCATGTGTCTGATGGAGGTGGGCATACTCAAACAGAACCAAGAGGAGTGGATGAGGGAGGGTCTGGGTAGGGGAAAGATAGCAGTGGTTTGAAATGAACAGGACTGTTGCCGTTGTGGGCTAGGCAGAGAGAACCCAGCCAGGAGAGTAGGTTTGCTCTGAGCGACAAGTCCAGGTGGTATGTGGGCGTATGTGTGTGTGCGTATGGGACGGTGGAGGAGGGGCCTCTGGGTTGCAGTGGAGGGTGAAGGCTACCCCTTATCCTGGGACCAAGGAGGCGGGGGAGAGAGTTACATCTGGTCCTTGAAGGCGTCCAGATCGAAGGCAGTGTCCAGGAAATTCTTCAGCTCCACCAGGTGGGCCTTCTTGTTTCCTGTGGCTGGGGCAGCGGCAGGTGGGCGACCAGCATACCTGAACACACACGTGACGAATAGTTTAATAAGAGTTTAACTAAACACAGACAGACTCACACAGACTAAGGAGAGAAGACAAGAGCAGATGAAGGGTTTGTTTACCAGACTGGCTTGGCGCGTTCGATGGTGGTGCGCATGCGGGGCTTGACATAGTCATAGTAGCCCTGGTTCTTGTGCTCCTCCTGGCACCACACCAGGTCGGCATTGGGGTACTTCTTGAACTCAGCCTTCACTAGGTCGAAGGGAAAGGGAGACAGCTGCATACAGAGAGACAAGGACCACATGTCATGAGGAAGGTAGCTTGGATAGCCAAAGGGAGCAACAGACGGTTTAGGTCACCATATACACAGAGAACACGTCAAACACTTTAGGTCAAGCAAAAGTTCAATTCATTTCACCTTTCAACTGAGCATTTTTCTAGCACATACCTTTATGTATGTTGGAGCCCTGAGGTGTATGTGTTGAGTGTGTGTGAAGCTACCTGCTCCATGCGTGCAATGGCGACCATGTCTTCCATGCCGTGGGCCTTGCGTTCCTTGGTTAGCTCGTAGTACACCTTTCCTGTGCAGAAGACTATGCGTTTCACCCCGGCTGGGTTCTGGGTCACCGGGCCACTGTCTGGGATCAGGCGCTGGAATTCTGTGCCTGGAGCACAGCAGGGGAACACGGCGACACTCACTGACTGCCAGACATCCAAATGGCATACACACCAGCACTGTCCTTCACACACGCCAACACTAACACGCCCACACAACAAACACGCACACAAGCACTCTTACCTGGCAACATCTCGTCAAAGCTGGACCTTGCCTCGGGGTGGCGCAGCAGGGATTTGGGGGTGAAAACGATGAGCTAGAAAAGAGGACAGATCAGAGGACAGTGAGCTAATAAGCAGATTCAGGGTAAACCTGTTGTTGTTGACGGGGACTCACAGGCTTCCTGAAGGGCGCCAGAATCTGCCGCCTCAGCACGTGGAAGAAGTTGCCAGGGTTGGAGCAGTTGACCACAATCCAGTTGCAGTCATAGAGCTGGCGAATGGCAAAGTCATCTGTGATGCTCTGGTGGGGAGGAGGGCGAGAGGAAAGGGTAAGGACCAGTCACTGTTTCATCCACGTGCAGTCTACACTTCCACCTATACTTTGTGTTCTAACATTACGCAGCATGCCACTGAAGGTTTGGGTGTGTTTAAATTTGAATTTCAAATTCTGTTTATGGGACTTCTATATTCTACTCCCTCAGTCTTTGTCTTCATGTCTGACGAAGGTCTATGTGACCAATGTATACATTTGCGAGTACACACAGTGTGCGGGAGACAATTCGAACACCTGTTTCAGTTGCAAAATTGCCTTGAAGGGATACTGTAAGATTCTGATTTACCCAGTCAGATTAATTTGTGGATACCACTTTTATATCTCTGCGTGCAGTATGAAGGAAGTTAGACGTAGTTTCGTGAGCCAATGGTAACTAGCGTTAACGAAACAACTGGAAGTCTACAGGTACGGTAGCGTATTACCGGAACCTCGCGGTATTCTATTAATAACATTACCCTAAAGGAAGCGTAGAATCGGTTTGGAAGAAAATGTCTAGCTATGTCAGGCATTAACGAGTACATGAAAGTGAGTGGTCTTTTGGATACAAGAGGCCGTGCAGAATTATTAGGTGAGCACCCACCGGGAGCACGTCAGGATCATCGTTGCACATCTGGAGGAACCTCTCTGGACGAGCAGAGGAGTGTTCTGGGCCCTGTGGAGAGAAGAGCAGGGAGATCAGAAGGGCTGCCACGGTCATTGTATAATCGTGTAACTAACTTTATTGTCAAGTAGATATACTTTACCCAAAAGCATGTAGTGTAAATGAATGATTATGAACAATTGACACTCCATCTCTTCCCTCCAATTGGCGCTCTGGAGGACTCACCATGCCCTCCATGCCATGGGGCAGCAGCAGGACGATGCCGTTCTGGCGGACCCACTTGGCCTGGCCGGGGCAGATGAACTGGTCGATGATGCACTGGGCTGTGTTGTGGAAGTCTCCGAACTGAGCCTCCCACAGCACCAGGGCATTGGGACTGGCCATGGCAAAGCCCAGCTCGAAACCTGACAGCACACACAGACAGGGAGAGAGGGAAAGAGACGGCAAATGAGAGCGAGTAAGAGGTTCATAACTCTGGACTATGCACACTTGCCACTCTCCTGGTGGGTGTATCATTCAAACAGTATGCATGACGGCAGTTGTTATAGCCAATAGCAAGAGCTGCCCTCTCCCAATTGGCAGTCGCGTCACTGAAATTTGAATTGTTGGCCACTAGCTGCTGTGCATCTATGTTCATTGAAAATTACTGGTCGCTGATTATCTCACCAAGTCCCCAGTTAGTAGCGGGTGGAGATAGTAGTAAGAGGTTATTGGAATGAGCATTCCTGTGTATTCCAGTTTCTCTGATTGTAGTTTCACAGTAAATGGAGACATGTGAGTGAGTGTGTGAGAGAGAGACTGACCCAGCACACCGTATTCCGACAGGGAGCTGTTGCAGACGGTGTAGGGGGCCTGGTTGGGGTCCACATGGTTCATGGGGATGCAGACCCTCTTGTCCACATTCTGGTCGTGCAGCACATGGTGACGATGACTGGCAAGGAGGGAAACACATCAACAGGGACAATAAGGGACGAGATCTGCATCCCAAATGGCACCCTATTCCCTTTATAGTGCACTTCTTTTGACCATGTATTTCTTCATATGTATTGCTCTGAGCTTTCCTCTATCATGCCTGACTCTGAATTGGCTCTAGAACTTCTCATCTAGTTTTTATTTTATTTTTTAGCTCTGGCAGACAAACAAAGCCCCTTAGAGTTTAAAAAAAGATCAGATCGATCCTTGGTTCTCTATAGAACTTTCAGATCTCATTATGATGAGAAATCAGGCCTGGGTCAAGGCTAGAAAAACGGACTTGGTAGCTGACTGGCAGCGCTTCAGGCAATTGAGAAATAGACGTTCATGATCAATTAAGAAAGCTAAATCAAACTACTTTCTAAATTCAATCTCAGACTCTTCTGGTGATCAGTTTAAATTTAGGAAAACAGTTAATGCACTGAAGCGTGGGAATTCTTCTCCTTCCCTGTCTAAGCAAGTTGTCAGACTCTGGCATCATTACTGAGAAAATGTGATAAAATGCTGATTTAAAACCATCACTTATCTCTGCATGCTTTCTATTTGAAACAAATGGTAGTTTAATTGACCCTGGTCAGTCAGTCGATTGCTCTTCCCTCTCACAGACTCCAGTTGGTTCAATGGAAGATCAGTCAACTTCAAGTGAATCTTTGTTTTCATTTCAATAACTTTCTGCTTGTGATGTGCTAGATGCCTTGCTTAAGATTGATGTTAAAAAAATAAAAAATAAAAAACCCTGCGGCTGATTTGCTTGAGTCACTAACCATGTTTCCATCCAGTTTTTATGTGAGTAAAGTCATACAGTATAAGAAAAAATCACGACAGCTGTGATGGAAGCTGGACGTTCCAGTACAATTTTATAAACGCCAACAGATCATTTGTTCGTTCGACATGGTGGGATCCTTTTGTGTCTGTAAAATTAATTATGCGAGAAATGGCGGTACTCTGCGTCTCACAAAGACACGGCAGTTGGAACCAAAAAATCACAAATTTGGACTCATCAGACCAAAGGACGAAATGATTCCCACCGGTCTAATGTCAATTGTTTGTGTTTCTTGGCCCAAGCAAGTCTCTTCTTATTATTGGTGTCCTTTGGTAGTGGTTTCTTTGCAGCAATTCGACCATGGCCTGATTCACGCAGTCTCCTCTGAGCAGTTGATGTTGAGATGTGTCTGTTACTTGAACTCTGTGAAGCATTTATTTGGGCTGCAATCTGAGGTGCAGTTAACTCTAATGAACTTATCATCTGCAGCAGAGGTAACTCTCTGGGTCTTCCTTTCCTGTGGTGGTCATCATGAGAGACAGTTTCATCATAGCACTTGATGGTTTTTGCGACTGCACTTGAAGAAACGTTCAAAGTTCTTGAAGTCTTCCGGATTGACTGACCTTCATGTCTTAAAGTAATGATGGACTGTCGTTTCTCTTTGCTTAATTGATCCGTTCTTGCCATAATATGGACTTGGTCTTTTACCAAATAGGGCTATCTTTTGTATACCACCCCTACCTTGTCACAACACAACTGATTGGCTCAAACGCATTAAGGAGGAAAGAAATTCCACAAATTAACTTTTAACAACGCACACCTGTTAATTGAAATGTTCCAGGTGACTACCTCATGAAGCTGGTTGAGAGAATGCCAAGAGTGTGGAAAGCTGTCATCAAGGCAAAGGGTGGCTACTTTGAAGAATCTCAAATATATAATATTTTTGATTTGTTTAACACATTTGGTTACCACATGATTTCATATGTGTTATTTCATAGTTGATGTCTTCTCTATTATTCTACAATGTACAAAATAGTAAAAATAAAGAAAATGATTAGGCGTGTCCAAACTTTTGACTGGTACTGTATGTACATAATTGGTTGTACCATTGGATTAGTCTATTTCTTCTGCATCCTGAGATACCAACCATTAGTCTGTGTGATTAACGGGAGCTGAGCTAGAGCGGTGAGACAAGGGTGGCTCTCGAAGATGCCGGGGCTTTTTACAAAAACGTATGTAGAGTCCGAATGGTTTGAGCAACAAACTATTAAAAGCTATCTATGAAAAGCTGAGACTCACAAACTTTCACAAGCTTCACAAGAGTCGTTAGAAGGTAAGGGGTTCTTCTACATAGAAGATCAAAGGAAATCCAAGTACAAAGTGTAATAAGCGCCATCTCTGCTGCAACCTTGGTGTGGTAAAGGGTATGGATAGGAGGAAGCACTGAGCTGCCCTCTTTATTGACTTATCGAAGGCTTTCAATACTGTTGACCACTTTTTATTGATTCAAAGATTGTCTGTAATCGGTGTGGATCAGGCATCATGTAATTGATTCGAAAATTACTAGACAGGACACAATGCGTTTTTTCTGATGGTGTTAAGTCAGGTTTCCTTGATATTACGAAAGGTGTCCCACAGGGATCGATTGTAGGTCCTGTAATTTTAATGTCTATATAAACAATGTTGATCTATCTGCAATTTATTTTTATACATACACCTGTATGCAGATGACACTGTTGTGATTGCTATTGCCCCCACGGTTGACCAGGCACTTTCCGAGCTTCAATCTGCCTTCATTGCTTTGCAGAAAGCCTTTGTTGAACTGCAATTGGTACTTAATGCAGGTAAAACCAAGTATACTGAACAAAAATATTAAAACGCAACATGGAAACATTTCAAAGATTTTACTGAGTTACAGTTCATATAAGGAAATTAGTCAATAAAAAAAAAATGTGCATCTGTTGGTCACAGATACAGTACCTTTAAAAAAAGGTACAGGCGTGGATCAGAAAACCAGTCAGTGTCTGTTGTGACCACCATGTTTCGTGCAGCGCGACACATCTCTTTCGCATAGAGTTGATCAGGCAGTTGATTGTGGCCTGTGGAATGTTGTCCCACTCCTCTTCAATGGCTGTGCGAAGATGCTGGATTGGAGGGAACTGGAACACGCTGTCGTACACGTCGATCCATGATCATTGCTGTTTAATCAGCTTCTTGATATGCCACGCTTGTCAGAAGAATGAATTATCTTGGCAAAGGAGAAAGGCTCACTAACAGGGATGTAAACAAACTTGTGCACAAAATTTGAGAATAATAAGATTTTTGACATATTGGAACATTCCTGGAATATTTTATTTCAGCTCATGAAACCAACACTTTCCATGTTGCGTTTATATTTTTGTTATTCTCCAAATCGCAAAAATGTACGAAAAAAATGTTGTTCCACTCTTCAATGGCTGTGCGAAGTTGCTGGATATTGGTGTGAACTGGAACACTCTGTTGTACACGTCGATCCAGAGCATCCCAAACATGCTCACTGGGTGACATGTCTGGTGAGTATGCAGGCCAGGGAAGAACTGGGACATTTTCAGCTCCAGGAATTGTGTACAGATCCTTGTGACATGGGACAGTGCATTATCATGCTGAAACATGAGGTGATGGCGGCGGATGAACGACACGACAATGGGCCTCAGGATTTCGTCACGGTATCTCTGTGCACTGAAATGGCCATCCATAAAGGACCGGAGCCTTCTGGTTTTCTGTTCTACTTGATCATTAATTGCACTCACCTGGTGTCCCAGGTCTAAATCAGTCCCTGATTAGAGCGGAACAATTAAAAAAAAGCAGTGGAACTGGCTTCGAGGTCCAGAGTTGAGTTTGCGGGGTCTATATGAATGCAGCTGCCACTGTATTAAAGCCTTTGTACGCAGTTTGTCACAGGGCAGTACGCTTTATTACAGGCGATAGGTTCAGTACACATCACTGCATTCTGTATCAGAAAGTAGGCTGGCCACTTTCAAGTCTCATAGGTCAATGCAATGCACTCTTTTTGTTTATAAACTTCTGCCGTACCTTCCTTCATTGTTAACTTACAGATGTACGAGATACCAGACCCGGTCTCAGGGATGGTTAACTCTGGAGATCCCTTCGATCTCCATTGAGTTAGGTAAATCTGCTTTCAGGTTTTTTTGCACCTTACTTGTGGAATAATCTCCAAGGCTCTCTAAAGTTGGCTGAATTGGTGCCTCTAGGGCAGTTCAAAGAGCTGATTGAGGACATTTTTACTGAAGAGTGTGTTTTCTATGATTGTGTTTTGCTTTTCATGTATGGGATGTGAATAGTGTATATTGATGTGTATATAGGGCTCATCTGTGAAAGAGACCTTGGTCTCAGCATGACTCCCCGTACAAGGTAAAAAAAATAATTAAGTAGTGCACTATAAAGGGCTGTTTACACACAAAAGTGGAAACCATTGTTTTGTCTGAGATCGAGAGACTCTTTCCCCCCTTCTCTCCCTCTCCTCACCTGAAGGTGCCTCTCTCCACATCCTGGCCGCTGAGGCGAACGTGGATGCCCTCTTTGAGCAGCGAGCCAAAGGCCATATACTCCCCCAGGGCCCAGTCCACTGTGCGGTTTTTGATCATCTCCCCTCGGGCCTTCAGGATACGGCTCAGACCTGTGGAGGAGCAGCAAACCAGACGCTCGTCACCAGGTAACGGGGCAGTCTTTTTGTAATCAGTTCTCACCTAATACTGCTCTAATCTTAATGTGTGTACATTTTACTGTGTGCACAGAAAACAAAAAGGTGCCATCAAATGTGTGTTTAAAGCCAGTAATTGAAAAGCCATGTGTTCACTCTTTTGGCCCTCCCTACCTCAAGAGATGCATGATATCATATTAAGTTATATTTATGTTACGGTTAAGAAAGTTTCCTACCACCATGGATGGTGAAGTCTTCGACTGGCACTGAGGAGGCCACTTGTCCGATGTGGATCAGCTCCTCATCAGTCAGGCCGGTTGTCGGGCAGGTCAAGCTCTTGGGCTGGCCATCCAGGTTGAAAAAACCTGCACACAAACAGGCCCATTATTCACAACCTACAACACACACTGCAGGGTCCGACATTAACGATGGGCCCCTGGCCCGGGACCAGTAAAAACAAGTGTCGGGCCAGTATCTTCTCAGCGCATTTTTGTGTTCCACTTCAACATTTACCTGCTCTGTCACAGTATACCATTGAAGACTACACACAGAAAAGTTATGCTATTTGTACATTTGCGCAATATGATTTTACTGAGTTACAGTTCATAAGGAAATATGAACAGATACGCATCAGTTGGTGACAGATACCTTAAAAAAAAAAAAAAGTAGGGCTGTGGATCAGAAAACCAGTCCGTGTCTGGTGTGACCACCACTTGCCTCATGCAGCGTGACCCATCTACTTCGCATAGAGTTGATCAGGCTGTTGATTGTGGCCAGTGGAATGTTGTTCCACTCTTCAATGGCTGTGCGAAGTTGCTGGATATTGGTGTGAACTGGAACACTCTGTTGTACACGTCGATCCAGAGCATCCCAAACATGCTCACTGGGTGACATGTCTGGTGAGTATGCAGGCCAGGGAAGAACTGGGACATTTTCAGCTCCAGGAATTGTGTACAGCTCCTTGTGACATGGGACAGTGCATTATCATGCTGAAACATGAGGTGATGGCGGCGGATGAACGACACGACAATGGGCCTCAGGATTTCGTCACGGTATCTCTGTGCACTGAAATGGCCATCCATAAAATGCAATTGTGTTCGTTGTCCGTAGCTTATGCCTACCCATACCATAACCCCACCGCCACCATGGGGCACTCTGTTCACAACGTTGACATCAGTAAACCGCTCACCCACACGACACCACAAGTCATACGAAGTCAAACAGTTACGGCAAGAGTGGAACAGGCTCCAAGTCTCACCAGAGAGATTATAATGGAAAACAGCAAAAAGCACACAAATTGAGGTACCAAGTCAGTACAGAACACTAAAATCTAGGAACAGAAAGAGTGTTGAACTTAGCATGAGAATGCTTTTATTTGCCGTGCATGCAACATGACATTGAACACTATCACTAAAGAGTGTATCAAACAAAAGAAACCCAGTGTAATAACTAGGCCCCCAATGCAACATGTACAGTCTACGGCTCCTTTCCAAATTATTTCAATTGACTGCATTTGGAGAAAAGCAGAGGGGGCTACGAGTACATTTTAGTTATTTTAGAACATTTGCACAAGCCTACCCCACCAGAAATAAGTCAGGGAAAACTGAGGCAAAAAAAAGCTTTGAGGACTTTTTCACAAAAATGTGGCTTTGTGTCAAAAATCCATCACGATCAGGGAAGAGAGTTTGAAAATCAGTTATTCAGAACCTGCAGAACTGTACGGGAATAGCCAATTCCAGAACCTCTCCATATCATCCACAGGGGAATCTGGTGGAGAGCTTTAACCGTACACGATTGTCAATGTTGCGCACACCAGATGAAGAGAAAAAAGGACAACTGGGGTGATTATCTAAACAAGGTCATTCATTAATATAATTGTACCACCAGTGATGCTACTGGGTTCTCACCTTATTTCCTGCTATTCGGAAGGGCTCCACTGCTACCTGTTGAACTTCTCTTTGGGTTACAGATAAAGGAACAGGAGAAATCATACCAGGATTTAAAAAATAAAAAAAAGATAATGTAAGTCGCTCTGGATAAGAGCGCCTGCTAAATGACTAAAATGTAAATGTAATTATGCTAAGAAGTGGCAGCAACAAATGGCAGAAGCCTATGACGTTGCCATAAGAAACATGGAGAAATCAACAGCAAAGTGAAAAGCCTACTACGATCGGAAGAAAATGAGTTCGGTTCTGGCCTCAGAGGATCGTGTACTGGTGAGGAACATGTCGGAACGTGGGGGACCGGGAAAGCTCCCACTGGGAGGACCAAATACACGTGGTATGAGGTCAAACCCGAGAGGGGTACAGGCAGTGCCCGGGTTTTGCGTCGCAATATGCTCGTCATGTAACTCCCTACCATTTGAGGAACGAGTTCAAGCACCGAGTAGAGGTCTGTGGAGAAGGGAACCACCCCTGCAAAAGCAGCAAAATGCTGAGTATGAGGGCGCTGATGAGGATTCTTATCCAGTATTCATCAACAGGCCACGTAGGGATGAAGAGAGTAGACAGAGTAGCACACAGCTGCACCATCGAGAGCATCCTGACCGGTTGCATCACTGCCTGGTATGGCAACTGCTCGGCCTCCGACCGCAAGGCACTACAGAGGGTAGTGCGTACGGCCCAGTACATCACTTGGACCAAGCTTCCTGCCATCCAGGACCTCTATACCAGGCGGTATCAGAGGAAGGCCCTAAAAATTGTCAAAGACTCCAGCCAACCTAGTCATAGACTGTTCTCTCTGCTACCGAACAGCAAGCGGTACCGGAGCACCAAGTCTGGGTCCAAACGACTTCTTAACAAATCAAATCAAATGTTATTTGTCACATACACGTGTTTAGCAGATGTTATTGCGGGTGTAGCAAAATGCTTGTGCTTCTAGCTGACAGTGCAGTAATATCTAACAATTCCACAACATATACCCAATACACACAAATCTAGTAAGGAATGGAATTTAAGAATATATACATATATGGACAAGCAATGACAGAGCGGCATGGACTAAGATACAGTAGAATATTATAGAATAGAATACAGTATATACATATGAGATGAGTAGTACAAGAGATGTAAACATTATTAAAGTGACTAGTGTTCCATTTCTTAAAGTAGCCAGTGATTTCAATAGGCAGCAGCAGCCTCTAATGTGCTAGTGATGGCTATGTTTTTCATTCTCTCCGTCCCAGCTTTGATGCACCTGTACTGACCGCGCCTTCTGGATGATAGCGTAGAACAGCTTCTACCCCCAAGCCATAAGACTCCTGAACAGCTAATCATAGCTAGCCTGACTATTTGCATTGTCCCTCCACCCCACCCCCTATTTTACACTGTTGCTACTCTGTTTATTATCTAAGCAGTCACTTTAACTCTACCCACATGTACAGTTGTGGTCAAAAGTTTGGAGAATGACACAAATATACATTTTCACAAAGTCTGCTGCCTCTGTTTTTATGATGGCAATTTGCATATACTCCAGAATGTTATGAAGAGTGATCCGATGAATTGCAATTAATTGCAAAGTCCCTCTTTGCCATGAAAATGAACTTAATCCCCAAAGAAAACATCAGGGACTGACTGATATTCTGCAAAAGATACAGGGGTTGGACTGCTGAGGATTGGGGTAAAGTCATTTTCTCTGATGAATCCCCTTTCCGATTGTTTGGGGCATCTGGAAAAAAAGCTTGTCCGGAGAAGACAAGGTGAGCGCTACCATCAGTCCTGTGTCATGCCAACAGTAAAACATCCTGAGACCATTCATGTGTGGGGATGCTTCTCAGCCAAGGGAGTGGGCTCACTCACAATTTTGCCTAAGAACACAGCCATGAATAAAGAATGGTACCAGCACATCCTCTGAGAGAAACTTCTCCCAACCATCCAAGAACAGTTTGGTGACGAGCAATGCCTTTTCAGCATGATGGAGCTCCAATAGTGATAACTAAGTGGCTCAGGGAACAAAACATCTACATTTTGGGTCCATGGCCAGGATACTCCCCAGACCTTAATCCCATTGAGAACTTGTGGTCGATCCTCAAGAGGCAGGTGGACAAACAAAAACCCACAAATTCTGACAAACTCCAAGCGTTGATTATGCAAGAATGGGTTGCCATCAGTCAGGATGTGGCCCAGAAGTTAATTGACAGCATGCCAGGGCGGATTGCAAAGGTCTTGAAAAAGAAGGGTCAGCACTAGAAATATTGACTCTTTGCATTAACTTAATGCAATTGTCAATAAAAGCATTTGACACTTATGGAATGCTTGTAATTATACTTCAGTATACCATAGTAACATCTGACAAAAATATCTAAAAACACTGAAGCAGCAAACTTTGTGAAGACCAATACTTGTGTCATTCTCAAAACTTTTGACCACGACTGTACATTTACCTCAATTACCTCGACTAACCTGTGCCCCCGCACATTGACTCTGTACAGGTACGCCCTGTACAGTGAGGGAAAAAAGTATTTGATCCCCTGCTGATTTTGTAAGTTTGCCCACTGACAAAGAAATGATACGTCTATAATTTTAATGGTAGGTTTATTTGAACAGTGAGAGACAGAATAACAACAACAAAATCCAGAAAAACGCATGTAAAAAATGTTATAAATTGATTTGCATTTTAATGAGGGAAATAAGTATTTGACCCCCTCTCAATCAGAAAGATTTCTGGCTCCCAGGTGTCTTTTATACAGGTAACGAGCTGAGATTAGGAGCACACTCTTAAAAGGAGTGCTCCTAATCTCAGCTTGTTACCTGTATAAAAGACACCTGTCCACAGAAGCAATCAATCAATCAGATTCCAAACTCTCCACCATGGCCAAGACCAAAGAGCTCTCCAAGGATGTCAGGGACAAGATTGTAGACCTACACAAGGCTGGAATGTGCTACAAGACCATTACCAAGCAGCTTGGTGAGAAGGTGACAACAGTTGGTGCGATTATTCGCAAATGGAAGAAACACAAAAGAACTGTCAATCTCCCTCGGCCTGGGGCTCCATGCAAGATCTCACCTTGTGGAGTTGCTATGATCACGAGAACAGTGAGGAATCAGCCCAGAACTACACGGGAGGATCTTGTCAATGATCTCAAGGCAGCTGGGACCATAGTCACCAAGAAAACAATTGGTACCACACTACGCCGTGAAGGACTGAAATCCTGCAGCGCCCGCAAGGTCCCCCTGCTCAAGAAAGCACATATACAGGCCCGTCTGATGTTTGCCAATGAACATCTGAACGATTCAGAGGAGAACTGGGTGAAAGTGTTGTGGTCAGATCGAGCTCTTTGGCATCAACTCAACTCGCCGTGTTTGGAGGAGGAGGAATGATGCCTATGACCCCAAGAACACCATCCCCATCGTCAAACATGGAGGTGGAAACATTATGCTTTGGGGATGTTTTTCTGCTAAGGGGACAGGACAACTTCACTGCATCAAAGGGACGATGGACGGGACCATGTACCGTCAAATCTTGGGTGAGAACCTCCTTCCCTCAGCCAGGGCATTGAAAATGGGTTGTGGATGGGGTATTCCAGCATGACAATGACCCAAAACACACGGCCAAGGCAACAAAGGAGTGGCTCAAGAAGAAGCACATTAAGGTCCTGGAGTGGCCTAGCCAGTCTCCAGACCTTAATCCCTCGAAACAGCCTCGAAACCTTAATGACTTGGAGAAGATCTGCAAAGAGGAGTGGGACAAAAATCCCTCCTGAGATGGGTGCAAACCTGGTGGCCAACTACAAGAAACGTCTGACCTCTGATTGCCAACAAGGGTTTTGCCACCAAGTACTAAGTCATGTTTTGCAGAGGGGTCAAATACTTATTTCCCTCATTAAAATGCAAATCAATTTATAACATTTTTGACATGCGTTTTTCTGGATTATTTTGTTGTTTTTCTGTCTCTCACTTTTCAAATAAACCTACCATTAAAATTATAGACTGATAATGTCTTTGTCAGTGGGCAAACGCAGGGGATCAAATACTTTTTCCCCTACTGTTATTTTATTTTAATTATTTTTTACTTATCTATTTTTTCCTTGACACTTATTTTTCTTAAAACTGCATTGGTTAAGGGCTTGTAAGTAAGCATTTAACCGTATGGTCTACACCTGTTGTATTCAGCGCATGTGGCAAATAAAATTAGATTTGATTTAGTGAGGAACAGGGTCAGACTGATAGAAACTTCGCTGTGAAGGACTGCCAGCCTGTCCTCAGGGAGACCTCAGAGAGGACAGGGGTAAATATGGAAACAGCTGAGGGCTCAGAGACTCAATCATCCCATGATGAAGTGGTCACTGATTCATTGGGGTCACCCATGACCAAACCGAATCTGCAGGGATTGTTTTTATTTTCTGCAGCGATTTCTGCTGAAAGCTATTTTTTTGCCTCTAGAGTACTAACATTAGTACTAAATTTATTTATTTAACCCCTTATTCTTTGGCACTAAACAGTCTCCATATATACTTCCATTTATTTTTTCAACTAGTACCGGGGGACCTTCAGACGAGTCTTGAGGCCTGTGGGCATCCTAGAGCAAAACACAGGGGTAATATTAGGGTGTAGCCTGTTTGCCCACTGACAAAGACATGATCAGTCTATAATTTTAATGGTAGGTTTATTTGAACAGTGAGAGACAGAATAATAACAAAAAAATCCAGAAAAAACGCATGTCAAAAATGTTATAAATTGATTTGCATTTTAATGAGGAAAATAAGTATTTGACCCCTCTGCTATCACAGAGGTCAGACGTTTCTTGTAGTTGGCCACCAGGTTTGCACACATCTCAGGAGGGATTTTGTCCCACTCCTCTTTGCAGATCTTCTCCAAGTCATTAAGGTTTCGAGGCTGACGTTTGGCAACTCGAACCTTCAGCTCCCTCCAGAGATTTTCTATGGGATTAAGGTCTGGAGACTGGCTAGGCCACTCCAGCACCTTAATGTGCTTCTTCTTGAGCCACTCCTTTGTTGCCTTGGCCGTGTGTTTTGGGTCATTGTCATGCTGGAATACCCATCCACGACCCATTTTCAATGCCCTGGCTGAGGGAAGGAGGTTCTCACCCAAGATTTGATGGTACATGGCCCCGTCCATCGTCCCTTTGATGCGGTGAAGTTGTCCTGTCCCCTTAGCAGAATAACACCCCCAAAGCATAATGTTTCCACCTCCATGTTTGACGGTGGGGATAGTGTTCTTGGGGTCATAGGCAGCATTCCTCCTCCTCCAAACACAGCGAGTTGAGTTGATGCCAAAGAGCTCGATTTTGGTCTCATCTGACCACAACACTTTCACCCAGTTCTCCTCTGAATCATTCAGATGTTCATTGGCAAACTTCAGACGGGCCTGTATATGTGCTTTCTTAAGCAGGGGGACCTTGCGGGCGCTGCAGGATTTCAGTCCTTCACGGCATAGTGTGTTACCAATTGTTTTCTTGGTGATTATGATCACAGCTGCCTTGAGATCATTGACAAGATCCTCCCGTGTAGTTCTGGGCTGATTCCTCACCGTTCTCATGATCATTGCAACTCCACGAGGTGAGATCTTGCATGGAGCCCCAGGCCGAGGGAGATTGACAGTTCTTTTGTGTTTCTTCCATTTGCGAATAATCGCACCAACTGTTGTCACCTTCTCACCAAGCTGCTTGGCGATGGTCTTGTTGCTCATTCCAGCCTTGTGTAGGTTTACAATCTTGTCCCTGACATCCTTGGAGAGCTCTTTGGTCTTGGCCGTGGTGGAGAGTTTGGAATCTGATTGATTGATTGCTTCTGTGGACAGGTGTCTTTTATACAGGTAACAAGCTGAGATTAGGAGCACTCCCTTTAAGAGTGTGCTCCTAATCTCAGCTCGTTACCTGTATAAAAGACACCTGGGAGCCAGAAATCTTTCTGATTGAGAGGGGGTCAAATACTTATTTCCCTCATTAAAATGCAAATCAATTCATCATTTTTGACATGCGTTTTTCTGGATTTTGTTGTTGTTATTCTGTCTCTCACTGTTCAAATAAACCTACCATAAAAATTATAGACTGATCATTTCTTTGTCAGTGGGCAAACGTACAAAATCAGCAGGGGATCAAATACTTTTTTCCACTCACTGTATGTTTTTTATTTTTTATTATGCTAATTAGATTTCCGCGGGGGAGCGGACATCGACTCTAGGGGGGTTAACCTCAGACCTAATTTTCGGTGTTCATCCAAAAACCCTACAAAAATCCCATTAATTTCCCCAAAGGCTTTGACCAACAAGCCATGGCTAACTAATTTCCGTGTTTTAGGACTATAAGCTGGCGAGCTCTATTTTGTAATTGTAGAGCAATCGTTGTAAAAAATGTCCACCCGGGCCATCAAATTTTTTTGACATGGCATGTTGTAGTCTGCTTTTAGATATGCCATCAAGGCATTGAAGCAGACATCCTCAACCATTGACAATGGCTGCATATCAACTACAATCATTTCTGTAACCAGCGCTGTGATTTTCTCACTTCTTTTCTGTGAAGCTGTCTAATGTCTGTTGTTGTGGGGGCCTGTGCTTCTGCCAGCAACGGTTTGAGTCTCATGGTGCGTCCCTTTCAGATGGTTAAGCATCGCACCTGTACTACCATTACTGTACCTCAATTCCACCAAGCAAATTTGTATTGCAAAGTATTGCCATACATGACTTTGCTGCTGTTGCTTGATTTTCCCTGACATTATTTCAACCGTTAACGACGATGACGTGTGGAGTGCTATATATCAGTTTTTCGGTTAAGGATTTTTTATTTAACGATCTCAATTTAGTTTAAACCTTCACACCCCTAGTATGTGTCTGAGCAGTTAGCACACTCACCAGGCCAGGGAGAGTCCAGCCAGTGCTTGATGTGGAGGATCTTCTCATCCTTGGAGCGAACATGTGCCTCCTCACAGATCTTATCATACTTGGCTATCTCCTCCTGTAGAGAGAGAGAGAGAGAGAGAGAGAGAGAGAGAGAGAGAGAGAGGGAGATGGGAATGGGGGCAGACGTGGAGATAGAATAGTCTTATGGTGACCTATGTAGTAGTGTGTGTGTGTGTGTGTGTGTGTGTGCTGTGAGTGATCGGGCCAGAGCGGTCAAGCCCTGACCTCGTATTCCTGTCTCGTGACGGCGCCCTCTGCGATTAGTTTCTCGCCATACTTCTGCATCACTCCCTTCTGCTTCTTGATCTGCTTGTACATCAGGGGCTGGGTAAACATGGGCTCATCCATCTCATTGTGGCCCAATCGCCGGTAGCACACCTGCCAACACACAAACATTATTGCTGCTGCTTGATACACACAAAACCGCACACACACTGATACTGATGGCTGCTGTGTCATAAGGCGGGGGTTACACTGGTACTCCTGCATATGTGAGTAAGAAGACTGATTTTCCTATTTATTTCCCCTAACCTCTATGTGTAATGTGTGTGTACTGTGTGTGTGACATGAGTAACGTGCAATGTATGTATTATGTTTAGTGTGTAATGTTTAATTTGTATACAGCATTACTGTGTGTCAAAGACAATTTTCCTCTTGGGGACATTAAAGTTCATCCAATCCTATTACCAGAGTGAGTTGAACTTAACTATATTTTCCAGGTAGTGGGGAACTCTTACTCACCAGGTCCACCACCACGTCCTTGTGGAAGGTGGCTCTCCACTCGGCCGCCACGTTGCACACGTACACCACAGCCTCAGGGTCGTCAGCGTTGACGTGGAAGATGGGAGCATTGACCACCCTGGCCACGTCAGTGGGGTACGGAGAGGACCGTGCCATACGAGGGTCAGTGGTGAAGCCAATCTGGGGGTAGACGGGGGTGATAGGGTTAGCATGCCATCCATCCACACCACTATTGGTTTCCTAGCATGGCTGAAACCCACGTGGAACAAAGTCTATTTATATCTTCTCCAGACCAGGTGTGGTCTGTGGTTAGCTTGGTGTGAGTGTGTGTCCGCACCTGGTTGTTGACGACCACATGCACCGTGCCGTGGGTGGAGTAGGAGGGCAGGTCGCTGAGATGGAAGGTCTCGTACACGACGCCCTGGCCGGCGAAGGCAGCGTCACCGTGCATCAGGATAGACATCACCTGGAACACAAACATTCCAACTTCAAATGCACACCATTTATAACCCATTCTTTAAGGTAATAACGCATTAGATAAAGTCGGATTGGTGAAACCGATATGGTGGAAAACATAGTTTCATATCAGTGTATGTGAAGGACAGAAAAAAGGTGCATTTCTTTTTTTCTTTTTGTTGCTGATGAAACCCGGGATCGAACCTAAAGGGTGCATTTTTTACAGGACAAAAAAGGACAATGATCTTTACAACGACCGCCCCAACACTGAGAAAAGAAATATGCCGCTATTCAAACTGTGTTCAAAACCAGCAGTGTCAGTCAGTGGGTTGGTACCTTGTGTCCCTCGGTGTCTCCACAGTAGAACTGCTCGGCCTTGGTCTTGCCCTGCACCACAGGGTCCACGGCCTCTAGGTGGGAGGGGTTAGCCATGAGGGACAGGGTGATGTTGCGGTCAGTCACGCGGTTGATCCTCCTGTGGTACATACCCAGGTGGTACTTCACATCTCCAGAGCCCTGAAACAACAACAGTCAGAAACACACTGGAAGCAGTTGTATTGGATTGATTACAGAGTCGAGAATTGCTGTGCAGTGGTTGGGCTAGATGGGACTCGCCTCATCAGCAGCCTCCAGCTTGGAGTCAAACTGGCAGAAGATCTGCTCCAGCTCCTTGCGGATGACATTGGCCAGCACATTCAGACGACCCCTAGAAGACGAGGAGCACTTGTCAGAGAAGGCAGACAGTGAAACCATTTTGCAGAAACTCAAGCATTCCCTCCCGTGTTCCTGTTGTTACCCACCTGTGTGGCATGCCCATAACAATGTTCTCCACACCCTTCTCGCTGGACTTGTCGATGATGGTCTTGAGGGCGGGGATCAGAGACTCGCAGCCCTCCAGGCCGAAGCGCTTCTCTGACGACCACTTCCTCTGGAGAAACTCCTCGAACCTGCGGTACACAGCGTACGACGTCAGCACATAGCCATATCCCTTTGGAGAGAAGGACTCCAGAAATCTCCTATGATATTAGTGTGTAGGATTGGTACAATGTAGAGTAGCACAGTATATCGAAACTTCTGTATTTTAAGATGGTCATACCATGGATCATTTAGCTATTTCATTTAGAATTTTAGGACCCCTTTAGGTATCCCAAACAAATAAAATATGTTAAAATGATTTGATAATATTCTGCAATACTATTAAGTGATAATGCCCTCGAAGTCACTGTTTGGAGGATACATTGGCACGAGTGTTATGCCCAAGACTAAGTCGAGGTCCGGCAAACCGTGCCAATATATCCTTCGAGGGCATTGTCACTTTTATACAACGGGTTACCAACATATTCAAATAATGATTGACATATCATAAAAAACTTTATTTTGATTAATTTATTCATACTATTTCATCCTTCCACAAGATATAGTCCTGACACATCTAGGGTTGCTACCCAAGCCAGCTGGTCGTTCGTTCTATCGGTTCGGTTGGCAGAGACGCGACCCAGTCGTTCAGTCTTTTTGTTCTGTGTCCAGTCGTTTGTTCTAAATGTTCCATTGTCATACTGGCTGGCAATGTTCTTATCCCTTGCTTGCTAGCTAGACAACTACGGCTAACTTAGTCACGTCAAAAAGCTGCATTTGCATAAACTGTTTTCTAGTGACATTTATTTGGATACATCCATAACAATGAGCTAATGAGGCGCAATTTCACCTGGCATAGAAAATGTGCTCACTCATCATGGCACTGTTGTTCAGAGGAGCTAGCCAACAACACAGCTAACAACACAATCACTTCAAACTGAAGCTGGAAAGACTGCAAACTAGCTGCACTTCATTTAGTATATACAGCTCTGGAAAAAATTAAGAGACCACTGCACATTTTTCTTAAATCAGCATCTCTACATGTATGACAGCAATTCCATTCCAGTGTCTGTTGAATTCCAACACAGGCACACCTCATTCTACTGAATTAGGTACTGATTAGGTGATCGTCTGAACCAAATCTTATTTAACGAGGAAAAGTATAAAAACCACTGCTGTGGTCATCACTATCCTCTTGCAACAGGACCAGCTGGATGGCAAAAAACAGTGCTAATAGTACCTCAAAAGTAATATTAATCAAAAAAATAACTATTGACCATGCCAAAAGAGTTGAAAAGGAAAGTTGAGTGAGGAAAAGGGTTCAATTCTGGCTTTACTGGCAGAGGGATACAGTGAGCGTCAGGTTGCTTCCATCCTTAAAATTTCAAAGAAAAAGGTCAAGCAGCAGACATTGGAGACAACAAAGCTACAGACCGGGCGACTCTCTAATGACCGGGATGACCGACAACTCATTCGAATGTCACTCAACATTTGTAGGATGACATCAAGTGACCAACAAAAAGAATGGCAAATGGCAGCTGGGGTGAAGTGCACGGCGAGGATGGTTCGAAACAGGCTCCTAGGGGCAGGGCTGAAGTCGTGCAAAGCTATAAAAAATCCCTTCATCAATGAGAAGCAAAGAAGAGCCAGGCTGAGGTTTGCAAAAAACCATAAGGATTGGACCGTAGAGGACTGGAGTAAGGTCATCTTCTCTGATGAGTCCAATTTTCAGCTTTGTCCAACACCTGGTTGTCTAATGGTTAGACGGAGACCTGGAGAGGTTTACAAGACAGTGTCTCGCACTCACTGTGACATTTGTTGGAGGATCGGTGATGATCTGGGGGTGCTTCAGCAAGGCTAGAATCGGGCAGATTTGTCTTTGTGAAGGACGCATGAATCAAGCCACGTACAAGGTTGTCCTGGAAGAAAACGTGCTTCCTTTTCCTCTGACATTGTTCCCCAGCTCAGGGATTGGTTTTTCCAGCAGGACAACGCGCCATGCCACACAGCCAGGTCAATCAAGGTGTGGATGGAGGACCACCAGATCAAGACCCTGTCATGGCCAGCCCAATCTCCAGACCTGAACCCATTGAAAACTTCTGGAATGTGATCAAGAGGAAGATGGATGGTCACAAGCCATCAAACAAAGCCGAGCTGCTTGAATTTTTGCGCCAGGAGTGGCATAAAGTCACCCAACATCAATGTGAAAGACTGGTGGAGAGCATGCCAAGACGCATGAAAGCTGTGATTGAAAATCAGGGTTATTCCTCCAAATATTGATTTCTGAACTCTTCCTAAGTTAAAACATTACTATTGTGTTGTTTAAAAATGAACATGAACTTATTTCCTTTGCATTATACGAGGTCTGACAACACTGCATCTTTTTTGTTATTTTGACCAGTTGTCATTTTCTGAAAATAAATGCTCTAAATTACAATATTTTTATTTGGAATTTGGGAGAAATGTTGTCAGTAGTTTATAGAATAAAACAAAAATGTTATTTTTACCCAAACACATACCTATAAATAGTAAAACAAGAGAAACGAATAATTTAGCAGTGGTCTCTTAATTTTTTCCGCAGCTGTATATCCAAAAATGTTAATGATGCCAGCTGATTCATGATTTCGACTGGCTGAGAAACGCTTCCTGCCCATCTGTCTCGTCCCAACTCCCGACACGTTCATTACTATGGAATATTGAAACAATGTTGCAAATTTCAGAGAGACAGACAGCAAGATTTATACAAATCTACACTGTTGAAAACTAAATGTTAGTCTAAAAGAAATGTGAGATAATGTCTAGATGCTTTTTATAGTGGAGATCAAGTTTATAAAGTGCCTGGCTGGGCTGATGAGAGTGGATTGCGCAGTCAGATGGACCAGAGTAAATAGGTATTTTAAAGTCATAGATTTAGCCGGTGGTAACTTGTGGAACAGACACCGGCAGGATTGTGGTTTTAACCAATCAGCATTCAGGATCAGACCCACCTGTTGTATAATAGCCCATAGAAACACATTGAATAACACATTCATAAATGGCTAAAATATAGCAAAAAAATAAATCATAAGGAATAAGGCTTTGAAGTGTCTGTCCTATATCTAGGAGATATACAAAAACTCAGGAAATATTGTAGTTTTTTTGTACACCTATTTAACCCCTTATTTTTGTTGGCACAAAACGGTCTCCATACTTCCATTCATTTGTATGGGTTACCTTCAGACGAGTCCCGTGACACGACACGTGGGGGTCATAGAGCAAAACGGAGAACACCATCGTGTTTGTGAGAGTCACCTTTCCATAGAGTGTTTTTTTTGGGGGGCCAAACCGTGAGTAGAACGATTTTTGGGATGTCTCACGGTCTGACAAACACCGATGTAGCTTGGCCACCTTCTACCGCAGATGCGGAATGCATCCATAGGTGGATGCGGTGGATTGAGACACAGCCCATGCAAAATAAAACAGATATATCTCTAGCTTAAACTGACAAATTTTGATGAGGATTTTTAAAATATGTTACTTAGATTGACGCACGGGTGTGTCAACAGATTCTTAAGGATTAACATCTAAGTCTTTCGATCACAATTAAATAATTAAGACTCAGGTTTGGTGAAGTTATTCATGGCACTCTATACCCCCTATGCATGTTGTGCCATTTTTACAGCCCGGTACTGGGTTACCTTCAGACGACTCTCCTGAAAGTTGTGTGCATCGTAGAGCCGACACCTTCGTGAGTCTCCCCTTTCGATATTGGTGACATATTAGTTTGTATCTCGAACGGTTCGGGTTCTAGAGATTATTTTCTTGTCCGAATCCTCATGTGTGAAAAAATACTGCTTTCACAAGCCCCATGTTACGGAATAGGAACAAGCTTGATATCGGCTGAAAGAGAGGATTAAGCTGCAGCCACTATAAGAAACAGTAAGTATCTAGCATAAAGAAATTGACGTCACTGTGTGATGCTAGGGAGCATCAAATCGACTTTGAGGGGGTTGAACATTCAGGTGTATATGGTAATTTTTAGATACAAATGGTGAAGTTGATAACTTAATAATGAGGACAGCAATGACTTTTGCAAGGCGCACTGCATGGCCAACACAAGAGAAGAGAAGATCACTCTGTAAAAACTTCCATACCATTCGATTTTGAGGTGGGGGTGAAACCCAAAGTTGTGCTATATATTCATTGTCTATGCCATAGCTAATTTGTAAACTGTAAATATTAATACATTACTAGCTCAAACACTTAATCTGCTAAAATGACACGATTAGTAGGTCGGTGATTTTGGAGTGGGTGGACAAAAAACATAGGCTACATTGCTGCCCCCCCCTCCGCCCCCCTAATCTGATAGTGGTAGTGGGGTGGTAGATGCCTAGTCTACCTTAAGGCTCAGATCAGTTGCCTACATAGTACATACACATAGACATAAACTCAGCAACAACAACAAAAAAAATCTACTGGCCCGGACATGGTGTAGTTTTTAAATGCATTGGGGTCTTGCAGGGCCTATAGGTTTGAATGCTTCCCGCTATATTCAGCTATTAACCTTTTGATGTGTAAGTTCCGGGTGGATCAAGTCATGTAAACAACAAAGTGAGATAGTTTGTGTGGATGATTAGATTGAATGGTGTGTGCGTGTAATCAGCTATATTGTGTGCAGAGACCACGGCATGAGTGAGGAGAGGTTGTAGATATAATGGGTTATTGTAAACTATGGCGCTAGACAGGATTATCTAGGTTTATGCTTTAGCATCATCTACGGGCCAAATGTGACGTGGGTGGCCCAGTTTTCGATTTCCTTCCAAAACATGGTTACATTTGTATAAATAGAAGTATTATTGACTACAAACCCCCCCTAAAATGATTTCCCACCAAATCTGGCAACCCTGTTCAGCTTTCGCGCTATGGCTAGGCTAGGCAGTAGGCTTGTATTTGAGGTGATAATCTGTGAGGTGATTTGTCAAACTGTAAACGACTTGTCAACTCATGTGCTCTGGCTAATGTATACACTAACAAGCCCATTGAAGATGTGTAATATGCTGAAAAGTGGCCAAACTAAGTTGATCTTATTCGGGCAATGGGCGCAGCCATCTTTGACTGATTATTTGCATTTTATAGTGAATGGCATTCTGGGATTAGGGAGTTTTCGCTTGTCAAACAAACAAACAAACAAACATGGCTGCCATCATAAAGAATTTAGCCGCTGTTAGCTTAGCTGACACACAACATTACATTTCTCCCTTGTGCTCACCAGAGATGTGGTAGATTGTAAACAATTCTAGCTGTTAGGTCGCTCCCTTATGGGTTTTTTTTGTCAGCGCAATCTGTTAGACTGGTTTACGGATTGAGTTTGGCTGTGGATGTATTCCGTATGATGCTTGGATGATGTTCACATTTATCTTCTACAATAAAAGGTGAAATTGAGTAATAAAGGTGTAAAGACCATTCATTTCCACCATTACAAAACATTGTTTAGATGCTTTTCAGACAACAATGCTGTTTAGACGCGTTTGTTGCATCATACGTTCTGTTGCGACCATTCCAATCACATATTTGCGATGGTACGCTGCAGGGACCACTCATCCATGACCACAAATATGTGATCGTACGCGTCAAAGGGCTAAAGCAAAACTACCAAAGTTATTGCTGACGATGAAACTGAACAATCAAAATAAAATCTAGGTATAGCCAGATGAGTTGTCTTCAGTAGCTTACTTTTATTACCGAAACACAATTTTGAACAGCGCATAGATAACAATAACCTGGCAAATTACATAGGTTGTCACTCACCTAATAAAGCCTAATACAGCGCAAGCCATTTTAGCATTTGAATACTGAAGGTGCTGGGCATATGTGCAAGATCAGGAACAGGTCACCTACCTCGCTTTGGTTAGGGCGCAAAGCTGGGTACAGTGCGCAGTTTGACTAGGCTACTGATATTGCCTAGGGTTGTTCGGCATGCTCCCTGCTTTCTTTTTTTGCCGCGTTATCATTTTGGTATCGAGTATAGTTTTGGTATTGAGTATCGTGATACTAAACCTGGTATCAAAGTCAAAATTCTGGTATCGTGACACTAGTACAATGACTGAAATCTGGACAAGCACTATGACTAAAATCACTTAAGGACAACTGCTGACGTGAAAAGGGCTTTATAAATAATTCTGATTGATTGATTGGCTGACTATGATGTTTGCGTAGGTGGGGGTGAGTGAATTGTTGTAGAGTGTTGCCCTGACCTGGTGGAGCGAACCATGCGGGCCAGCAGGGTCCTCTTCTCCTCCAGGGTGAACTGCATGACGCCGGGCTTCTCAAATTTCTCCCGGATCCACTGGCACTGGTCCAGGTCATTGATGAACATGAACTCCACCCCAATGTGCTGGCAGTAGGCCATCTGAAACATGGGACAATGTGTCTTGTCACTTTACAAGGCTAATAAGCCTGTATTGTACACTATTCGCCCATTCCAGACAAACGGTTGGCAGGAACCCAACTTCTTTGAGAGACAGACGTGTGTGTGGTTTAGTTTGAATACCTCCAGGCGGCGGATGATCTCCCTCAGGGGCAAGTCTGTCTCAGTGCCCCCGATGAAGGTGGTGGTAGGCAGGCGGAACACTTTGTCCAAGTCTGACTCATCCAGTCCATAGAAGCCTGTTCAGCATGCAGGGGCAGCAGACCGTCCAGAAGGGCAGGAGGGAGGGGGTTGAGGAGGAGGGCATATGTGGGGATATTCAGGCCAGAGGAGAAAACACCCAGAGACCAGAAACACAGGGGGAAAGAATGTAGGCCACAAAGACATCCACCATGGAAAAACAAAAAACAGAAGAGGGCGATGATGGATTAAAACACAGGAATATGCCATATGGTTGATGGCACCATAATGGCAACATGGCGTTAATGCAGCAAAATCAAAGGTAGTGCAGCATCACAGGCAAACGAACAGGACAGAGGGGGAGGCACGCAACAATGAAGGGGGTGAGACAAAGCGTGGTTGAGTGGGGAGCAGTGGTTACAAAACAAGTACAAGACATTGAATGAGCTATATTTGTGGGGGGAAAATAAAAACTGCCCTTGCTGAACTGAGATGGTAGATGAGCAATGGCGATTTTAATAACACAGGCCTAAACAGTCCATATACTGGTTTTACAGGGTCTAGCAGAACGCTTATGACTTGAACCCAAAATGATAATTTTGCATATGTTCTTCTACACTTTAAGATCCAGTCAATCAAGTAGGACTAAATCCGCTTTGAAAATATTGGTAACTGTGATGAACATTTGCAAAGCTAATTTCGAAATGCTGTTTCAGGTGATGCGAGTATGAGCCCATGTCTCTATGGTTTCAGTGCTTCTCTATTAGAGAGGATATGGAGAAGGTGATAGCATCTAGAATACCCAGATTGGTGGAGCATGTCTATGCAGTAAGGCAAGGCTACCTCAGTTTTAGGTCACCAGATACAGGACTTTAGATTTTGTTTTTCAAAGACATGAACCTACTCTGGATAAGCACCTTACATACAAAATGTACAGACACAATTCGAAAATCTGTTAAAAAAACACAAACAATAGCTGGTAGGGGAAACATGAACATGTTAAACACACCTAACCACCCACACACGTCAATGCTTGCTTAAAGTTAAGTGAAGATTTCCAGGAGATGAAAGCCAATTAAGAGATATTTTGAGGCAATCAAGTAAGAATCAGATTTCATGAGCTGAATTTGTAGTGTGGCATCTATGGGCAAGGAGGATAACTAATTAAATTGCTTGTTGTTTTATGGTAGAGGTAACTCTTAGTTAAAATGCAAGTGACAAAAAGGTAATGAAATAGAAGTCAGGTCAATCTAAGATGAATCGTCTCAGTTTCTTTGATTGCCTCAGGAAAAGAAGAGAAAGGCAACAACGTTGCAAAAAAAATAACAACTATGGCCTTGGCTAGTCGATGCATAAACGGCAAACAAAATGAATATGAGTATTGGTGATAGGAAATGAGTTTAATAATTGTAATAATAGTTCTAGCTACAACAGATTGGCAGTTAGATTATATTACATAGAATAGAGTATAGCTCAAAGAAAGACAGAGATAAAAATGAAAAATAATGTGTGTGTGGGTTTGTGCATGTGTGTTACTGAAAGTGTGTGTGTCAAGGATGGAGACTTGAGCAATACTGAAGAGTATCCAAGCAAAGAAGAATAAGCTCAGGGGACAGAACAAAGCTTCAAACGACTGGACAGGAAGGAGGACAAACTATGGGGGTCCTATAACACTGTGGCATCAGAAACAAACAGCATTTAGCTGACCTGACCGAAGTGCTGACCTGCAGTAGTGGAGCTTCTCCAAGGACAGGGAGAGCAGCTTCTTGCAGACTCTGCACACTGACTGCAAGTTCACGTCTACAACAAAACTGCCAGCCCACAAGGCAGCAACAACATGGCTGCTCCTTAACGCCACAGACAGACAGCAGCAGCACACTGCAAGGCATACACATTCTCCGCTGCCAAGTGGAGAGACAAGACGTGGCTCCCCAATGACCAGGTCATTGCCATCACGAGCGAGACAGCACACGTCATGTTTATACTGTGTGTGAGACAGTGTGACCCACGGCGGTTCCATGGGAGCCCTCTTCTCGCATTACACTGGGCCAAAGCATCATGCAGCTGCGCAAAAGCATCATCTGGGTGCAACGAGGGTCAGTGAGGACTTCAAAATCGCAGTTATCCAAAGGCAGAATCCTGCTATTCTACAGTTTGTCGTAGTGCAAGCAGTGAAATGCAATAACTTTAGTGTACATTCCCAAAAACCAAGCGTAAGGCAATTACGAGAGCATTTGGGTGCATGTTATGACGAATGAGTTGATTATTACCACTCTCCCAATGTTTGTCAGCTCTAAAATGTGATACGCAATCAGATTCTGAAACACAAAGTGGAAGCAGATACACACTTTTGAGAATGTTGGTTTTACAAGAGAATAAATTTATAATTTCTTCCGATAGCGAACCAACTGAGTTTGTGGTTGAAATGTTCCTCCAGACAATGTAAACAAAATTCGCCACAGTTTGAGAGGAATATTACTAGGTATCACACATGTGTTTTTTCATCCCCTAGTAACCAAACATCAACTACAACATTAACACTTATGTATTACAGTATTCACACCCCTTGACTTTTTCCTCATTTTGTTGTGTTACAGCTTGAATTTAAAATGGATTAAATGTAGATTGTGTCACTGGCCTACACACAATGCCCCATAATGTCAAAGTAGAATTTTGTTTGTAGAAGTTTTTACAAATTAATTAAAAATGAAAAGCTGAAATGTCTTAAGTATTCAACCCCTTTGAATACAAGCCGAAATAAGTTCAGGAGTCAAAATTAGCTTAACAAGTCACATAAGTTACATGGACTCACTATGTGCAATAATAGTCTTAAACATTATTTTTGAATGACTACCTCATCTCTGTACCCCACACACACAAAGAAGGGCACCTATTGGAAGATAAATAAAAAATAAAAAAGCCGACATTGAATATCCCTTTGAGCATGGTGAAGTTATTAATTACACTTTGGATGGTTTGTCAATACACCCAGTCAATACAATAGATACAGGCGTCCCTCCTACCTCAGTTGCCGGAGAGAAAGGAAACCACTCAGGGATTTCACCATGAGGCCAATGGTCACTTTAAAACAGTTACAGAGTGTAATGGCTGTTATAGGAGAAAACTGAGGATGGATCAACAATAATGTAATTACTCCACAATACTAACCTGAATGACAGAGTGAAAAAAAAGGAAGCCTGTACAGAATACAAATATTCCAAAAAATGCATCCTGTTTGCAATAAGGCACTAAAGTAAAAATGGAAAAAATGTGGCAAAGAAATTAACTTTATGTCCTGAATACAAAGTGTTATGTTTGAGGCAAATCCAACACCACATCACTGAGTACCACTCTTCATATTTACAAGCATGGTGGTGGCTGCATCATGTTATGGGTATGCTTGTCATCAGCAAGGACTAAGGAGTTTTTAAGGATAAAAAGAAACTGAATAGAGCTAAGCACAGGCAAAATCCGAGAGGAAAACCTGGTTCAGTCTGCTTTCCAACAGACACTGGGAGACAAATACACCTTTCAGCAGGACAATAACCTAAAAACACAAGACCAAATATACACTGGAGTTGCTTACCAAGACGACATTGAATGTTCCCGAGAGGCCTAGTTACAGTTTTCACTTAAATTGGCTTGAAAATCTATGGCAATACTTGAAAATGGCTGTCTAGCAATGATCAACAACCAACTTGACAGAGCTTGAAGAATTTAAAAAACATCTATTGACTCAGGGGTGTGAGTACTTATGTAAATTCGATATTTTTGTATTTCATTTATAAAAACATGTTTTCACTTTGTCATGATGGGGTATTGTGTGTAGATGGGTAAAAAATATATATTTAATCAATTTTGAATTCAGGCTATAACACAACAAAATGTGGAATAAGTCAAGGGGTATGAATACTTTTTGAAGGCACTGTAGATAGATTTAAATAAGCCTATTGACTACTCCACCCCCAGTGTCTACTCAGCTGGAGCTACGACAAGAAAGCACTATAGGAGGACTATGGCAGGACTGAGAAACACATGGCACTAAATGTAAAAAGTACAATGACATAGAGGAGCTTATTGTCTTATGACATCCGTGTGCTCGGCACCCAAACACTAGGGCTGCTACAGAGAGAGGCTCTTTATCTTTCTCAGTCTTTGTTTCAGGGCGACTGTCTTAATGGCTTAGCATCCAATCATCTGATAAATAACCAAACGTTCCAACGAGAATACTAGAAGTTGTTTATAGGGCTGGGAATTGCCAGGGACCTCACGATACGATATTATCCCAAACATATTGCTCACCATATGTCTGCTGCATAGGGACAAGAGAGCCATGAGAAAATGAGTTTTGATCAGTCATGGAAATAAGTGCTGAAAAAAATTGGTTCCCTATTTAAAAAGAAGACGGAGAACTAGCTATGAACTTTGGGTGCAGTTTGGGTGCAGGTACTGCCAACTGCGCAAAAATAATATTGCAATATTCTCAAAACTATACATTGTCAAAAATAATTTCACGATATGTAACTGCATCGATTTCTTCCCCAATCACTAGTTGTTTATCAAGTGCATTCTACTCTGAAAAGACAGGAAAAAACACGTGAGAAAGATAAAGCAGAAGATTCTACGTGAACAATACAAAAAGCAAATATTCAAGCACAAAGATAGAGGGACAGAACTACAGGGTGACTTATGTTTCCATACCTCCGACAGTTAGAATACTGAGACGGTCCTTGAACATTGCCAGGTCTGAAGGAGGCATCAGGGGCGAGAGACCCGGAAAAGGTTAGTGACTCATGCCCCCATCATGGACATGGGGGCCATCTCTACCACTACTCACTCAAACACATCGAAGGGGTCTGCAAACTATAATCGAAGCTGAACTGTGGGTGGTTCTCGAAGACAATAAGATGTCCTTTTCTCGAATTACACTCTGTGAAGCAGAGTTCGCCTACAACACTCAGATACAGTAAATAGCGCTACTAGCGCCGCTAGTATCTTTTGCTGGTGATGTGTGGCAGCACGTAGCTAACTTTGCTATGACTTGGTACTATTTCATTAATTTCATGCCATAAACAGACTTAAGGGACCAGGTTTGTTGATTTTGTTAACTCTTTTAAAAACATGGGATTTGATACTAGCAAATAAGCAAAGTAGACATTTATGGAGCGTTACGATGCTAGCTAATTATGGCTAACATTAGCTAATGCAAAACAAATTTACTGTATGAGATGTAGCCAACAACAAGCTATGTAGCTAGCTAGCTTGCTAATGCCACATTTATGTCCAATCTGAGTTTTCTGGTATACAACTTGTAAAACTTGGAGCAACGAGTTGCGTCCATTCATGTGTTTCGAACTTGTTGAGAATGCTTAAGTACAGCTATCATGCACGCCAAATAGTAGTGTTCAAAAAGCATGTACAGTGGGGAAAAAAAGTATTTAGTCAGCCACCAATTGTGCAAGTTCTCCCACTTAAAAAAATGAGAGAGGCCTGTCATTTTCATCATAGGTACACGTCAACTATGACAGACAAATTGAGGGAAAAAAATCCAGAAAATCACATTGTAGGATTTTTTATGAATTTATTTGCAAATTATGGTAGAAAATAAGTATTTGGTCACCTAAAACAAGCAAGATTTCTGGCTCCTCTGTCCTCCACTCGTTACCTGTATTAATGGCACCTGTTTGAACTTGTTATCAGTATAAAAGACACCTGTCCACAACCTCAAACTGTCACACTCCAAACTCCACTATGGCCAAGACCAAAGAGCTGTCAAAGGACACCAGAAACAAAATTGTAGACCTGCACCAGGCTGGGAAGACTGAATCTGCAATAGGTAAGCAGCTTGGTTTGAAGAAATCAACTGTGGGAGCAATTATTAGGAAATGGAAGACATACAAGACCACTGATAATCTCCCACGATCTGGGGCTCCACGCAAGATCTCACCCCGTGGGGTCAAAATGATCACAAGAATGGTGAGCAAAAATCCCAGAACCACACGGGGGGACCTAGTGAATGACCTGCAGAGAGCTGGGACCAAAGTAACAAAGCCTACCATCAGTAACACACTACGCCGCCAGGGACTCAAATCCTGCAGTGCCAGACGTGTCCCCCTGCTTAAGCCAGTACATGTCCAGGCCCGTCTGAAGTTTGCTAGAGTGCATTTGGATGATCCAGAAGAGGATTGGGAGAATGTCATATGGTCAGATGAAACCAAAATAGAACTTTTTGGTAAACACTCAAATCGTCGTGTTTGGAGGACAAAGAATGCTGAGTTGCATCCAAAGAACACCATACCTACTGTGAAGCATGGGGGTGGAAACATCATGCTTTGGGGCTGTTTTTCTGCAAAGGGACCAGGACGACTGATCCGTGTAAAGGAAAGAATGAATGGGGCCATGTATCGTGAGATTTTGAGTGAAAACCTCCTTCCATCAGCAAGGGCATTGAAGATGAAACGTGGCTGAGTCTTTCAGCATGACAATGATCCCAAACACACCGCCCGGGCAACGAAGGAGTGGCTTCGTAAGAAGCATTTCAAGGTCCTGGAGTGGCCTAGCCAGTCTCCAGATCTCAACCCCATAGAAAATCTTTGGAGGGAGTTGAAATCCGTGTTGCCCAGAGACAGCCCCAAAACATCACTGCTCTAGAGGAGATCTGCATGGAGGAATGGGCCAAAATACCAGCAACAGTGTGTGAAAACCTTGTGAAGACTTACAGAAAACGTTTGACCTGTGTCATTGCCAACAAAGGGTAAATAACAAAGTATTGAGAAACTTTTGTTATTGACCAAATACTTATTTTCCACCATAATTTGCAAATAAATTCATTAAAAATCCTACAATGTGATTTTCTGGAATTTTCTTTCTCATTTTGTCTGTCATAGTTGATGTGTACCTACGATGAAAATTACAGGCCTCTCTCATCTTTTTAAGTGGGAGAACTTGCACAATTGGTGGCTGACTAAATACTTTTTTCCCCTACTGTACATTGATTGTTTTTGATAAATAATATTTGTTTTAAAATAATTGCCAAAGTAATTTCCTTAGAAGGTAAAGTCAGTTTAACGTGTCGAAGAACTCAGGGTACAGAGATTATTGCAACTTGTATTTACGACTTGGAAGCTTACGTGAACAAACGGTTTTCCAAACGGCCTTAATAAGATGATTTTCCAACTAACTACAGATAGCAAAATTTGCCAGGTGTGGCAACCACAGCCAAGTTCGCTTGAAAGATGATAGCTAGCTACCTAGTTATGGAAAACTGCTTGTGTGAATGTAACACCGAGATAGTTTGGTAATGTTTCCACCATCTCTGCATACCACAGGCCACCATCATGACTGTCTGCAGCCAGGGCAGGCATCAACCACTGGGAACCCTCCCAACACTTAATTAAATTGATCAGACAGTGGTGGTTTGGTGTTTGCTAAGCTAGAACATTTCAGTTGCACACTCCGCTGCAAGCAAACAAATGGAACACCTCTGACGAACAACAGGCTTTTTATTTTGGATTTTTTAAATATATCAAGTTTTTGACATTATAGAGAGAGGATGACAGTGGGGAAAGATAGGGGAGGTTGTGTCTAAGGGCAGTAGGCTGGATTCGAACATATGCCGACACTGTAGACGTTTGCCGGAGGCAGCGGCCTAGCGTGCTAAGCCACCGGCTTGTTATTTTAACTTTGATTTTGTTTGCGAGAAGCACCCAAACTTCGACTTCACCACACAACGTCAATCACTACAGCAACACACCGACTGATTGACTGCCTCTGAACTCTAGCGACAGCACAGCACCGACCACAACATAGGTGGCAAACAAAGCTTTAGGTGCCAATCACGTCTAGAAAATGCAGTACCTGCCTGGCTGCACAATGCACAAATACAAACATCACACCTCACAAGCCTCACTGAAAAACGTCCCATGCAGACCGAGACATGCTGTACTGGAACTGACAACCACACGACACGTGTAAGGTATATAGACCTTGAGAGTACTACTAATTAGGCTATTCAGTCATCAACAAGAAGAGGGGTCCAAGGTTTAGGGGCATGCTGGTGTGTAAAAATGGCTGTTTGGGGATTGCCATTTTCTTATAATCTAAGTTGAAGGCAACATACCTTTCAAAACAGTTACCATCTTACTGTTGGGAGTCATACTGTAGCTGTGGTTGTGAGCATTGAGTGAGAACTAAGGCCTAAAAGTTATAGTTAGCAGTAGAGCAAAAACGTATATGTGTCCCCCATCATTCAGCAGGAAACTACCAATGCGTTGAATTGCTGAGAGTTGTTACCGTATCATGCTTAGAAGTAGATTAATAGTCAGAGGGGCCTTCACTGCCATACCCAACAAAGGGTGTGAGTAATGTGAGGGAGAATATGGTCCAGTCCCGGGAGGTTTTAAAGCAAGCAAGATGGTTAGTAGAGCTAGAAGCTAAGCCAAGAAATCTGGAGACGTCTAGAAATGTCCCTCCACAGTTAGACAGGAGTGTAATGGGACACTTAAATCATATAAAAACCAATGGCGCAACACTGGCTTCAAATTGGGAATCTAGCTGTGTGTCCCTCAACAAGGCTACTGTAGGTGAACTTAACATTGGAGCACTGCAGACAATATTGTTATGAAGGTTCAATTTGTGCTTGGCTGCCTGCAGACAGAGAAGTCAGACAGAACTGTCCTAGAAAGAAGTGCTAACCAATAAGCTGCTATTTGTATTGATGATTTTTGGACTGTCACCTTGTCGTGGTGAGGGGGCTTGTGTACCTCAATGACCCCTCAGAGCTATGCCCGTTGGAGGTAACTCCCGGCAGGTCTATCCAAACCAGACAGGTCTAGGGCCAGCAGTCAGATGAAGCACAGTCCACCTCTTAATCATAAAGCCTTGTAGGAAAATGATCTACGACCACTGCGGCTAACAGTGGACACAGCTGGCTGGGCTAATCAACCATCCAGCTGTTAAAAAAAAAAGTATTACAGAAACCATGGATACTCCCATGGGGGACACCCTATGCGCCAAAGCGGGCAGAGGTTGAAGTTAAGTCAAAAAGCATAAATACAAATATTTGGCATTTCAGAAAAACAGGGTGCTAGGAGCCCTTTCTTTCATGACAGTGGGCAGACTGAAAACAGGGACAAATGGGCAGGTTTACAGAGAAGGCCAGCGTAGGTCATACATAGACCAGCATTTCAAGCCAAACAGAGCTTGCTCAGCTACCCAGCCGCCCGGATGCTCTGTAGCGAGTGGCTCATTCTTCTCACCGAGTTTATCCGAGGACGTTATAATGTCATTGGGGACATGAGAGTCCAGATCGGCATCCATAATTCCCAGAGGGTCCAGCTGAGCAACATGGTGCCCACGGATCTACAAAAACAGGTTTGAGTTGAAATGGAACAAAACATCCGACATGTGGGCAGGGGGAGGCAAGGGTGGAGGGGCACGAGTGTAGAGATATAAAAGTGTTGAAAGGGATTTGAAAGAAAATAGAGAGGAGAGAAAAAAAAAGAGGGAGGAAATGGGAAAAGCAACATTAATACAAACAAGCTCATTGTTGTCTCGCACAGCTGTGAGGGAACATTTCTCACCGACATTCTGAACCCCAGTAGCTACTGGGGCATCATCAAAATTTATACAACTGATGCCAAGAGGATCGAGTTCTGCATTGTGATGGCCATTCAACTGGAAATAAGGTAACATTAGTCACAAGGTATTCAATTAAAACAACATAGAAATATGAAACATTCAAGAGTATATCATAATAGGCATTTTCGTTATCATGAGGTCACAGTCCTTTATGGGGTAAAAACAGACACCTTTGTCCCAGCTTTCAAATGTCAACAATTTCAGCACAGGTACAGTGCCTTCAGAAAGTATTCATACCCCTTGACTTATTCCACATTTTGTTGTGTTACAGCCTGAATTCAAAATGGACCAACTTGTTTTTTTGACTCACCCATCTACACACAATACCCCATAATGACAAAGTGAAAACATGTTTTTAGAAATTGTAGCAATGTATTGTATTCACACCCCTGAGTCAATACTTTGTAGAAGCACCTTGGGCAGCAATTGCAGCTTTGTCTTTCTGGGTAAGTCTCTAAGAGTTTTCCACACCTGGATTATGCAACACCATTACTATTCTCAAAATTCTTCCAAGATCTGTCAAATTGGTTGTTGATCATTGCCAGACAACCGTTTGCAGGTCTTGTCGAGTAGATTTAAGTCAAAATTGTAACTTGGCTACTCAGGAACATTTACTGTCTTCTTGCTAAGAAACTCCAGTATAGATTTCGCCTTGTGTTTTAGGTTATTGTCCTGCTGAAAGGTGAATTCATCTCCCAGTGTTTGGTGGAATGCAGACATCCAGGTTTTCCTGTAGGATTTTGCCATTCTGTTTGCTTTTATCCTGAAAAACTCCTGTCCTTAAAGGGGAATTTCACCATGGCTCTGCGAGGGCATATAGTCAATACTATATTAACAACATTATGTTTTTATCATAAACATCACAATTATCCAAACCACAAGCTAGAAGTAGCACATTTTAATTTTACTGGTAGAATCGGGAAGTCGACTCCCTGTGTATTCGTCTGCTCATAGTGAACCACAAAGTCCAGCATTCATAGCAAATCCTGATACCGCCATGCTAGGTAGAGGGGGCGTGCCCACAAACGAATAAATGGCGCTGTTTACGTCGAACCATCAACACACAGTAATCTCAGAATTTATCTAGGAAATTCGTTTTTTTAAACCTGTTTTTCACTACCGTTAAAGTCCTGGTATTGAACTCTGAAAGCCATCAGCTAAATCATCTATTTAGATTTTAAGTCATTTAGCAGACGCTCTTATCCAGTGCATACATTTTTTTTTTTTTTTAATCATACTGGCCCCCCGTGGGAATCGAACCCACAACCCAGCTGTTGCAAACGCCATGCTCTACCAACTGAGCTAAACGGGGCCACGTATCTATCTTTTGGTTTGCACAATGTCAATCCATTTCGCCTATGCCATGGTAGTCACTGCTAGCTACCTTCAGCAGTGTAAACATGTTTGTTTGTTCTATCTTTGACTGACATGGGCTAACGTAAACTAGCTAATGTTAGCAAATAAGAGGCAATTTGGTAGCCATCTATTCCACCCTCGTCTGGAAAACACTCCGTTACTAAAAATAGAATTGTTGATATACAGTTTCTAGCTCACTCTGTTGGTAGCAATGATGAATGTGTATAAATCGTCTATGGTTGCTTCTCAGCCAGTCTCAGCTGATTGGCAATCTTGCTGCCAATTTAGTGACGCTAGTTAGCTAACGATATTTAAAATGTCTATGTTAGGTATGCTTAGCTAGCCAGTTAATAGAGAACAATACAATTAGTGGGGTGGTTAAATTGTGTAGTAGGTGGTACAGAATCAGATTCCATCAACATGCACTTCCAACCCCTAGCTCTGCACAATGTGAAAGTAAGTTAGACAAAATATTTACAAGCTGATGGCTAAGATAGTTCAATTTACAGTAAGCATGGTATAAACATGAATTCGGTAGTGTTTGTATGGTTTGTGTTATGGGGTTACAGGTGGTTAGAGGTAGCCTGAGGACCACAGAGTACCTTCCAGACCATGTAATCAATTTAGTCTACCCGTCTTCTCTTTGTGCAAAACTCAGGTTATCTGGAGTCATTCCAGTGCCCTGCTGAAAAATACCCCAAAAGCAGGGGTATTTTGGGTCCACAAGCATGAAGGAGCAGACAGTTATGGCGCACAAGAATGTTGGACAGACAACAGCAAGGGACACAAAGGTATAAAATCAAGACTAACACACTAATGACAACCACCTAATTCTTCTTTCTGCAGATTCTCAAAACACAATACAAAGACATGTCTACAAAATTCCCCTGCAAAGGGCTACTATTGACAAGAATGATCTGTCAAAGTCAATGGGCTGGGGGAGGTTTAGAAAGTACTTTGAGATGAAGGGGGTTTTGGTTGTGCTTAGACAGTAAATGTATTGTTGCCATTTCTCCTCAATCTCACATACACAACAATTCATACTGTGTAAGAACTGCATTCCTAAGACTTTTCACACCTTCTTTAACCCCCCAGCCCATTCACTCCCATTGTCCCCTCATTGCCCCTACACAATACGCTAGCCGGTCCAATTCGGTTGATAGTTTCTTTACGTCCCTTCCACAAAAAGTGTAAAACGCTAAAACCACAACAGTCTTTTTCCAGGAGATAATCAAAGCTTGATGATTAGTTGATTATTTGAGTCCGCTGTGTAGTGCTAGGGGGAAAAAAACTAAAACGTGCACCCGTTGGGGTCCCCAGGACCGAGTTTGGGAATCCTGGCATAAGACCATGCAGAACATGGGTCCCCAACTCTGTTCCGGGAGAACTACCCTCCTGTAGGATTTCACTCCAACCGCAGTTGTAACTAACCTGGTTCAGCTTATCAACCAGCTAATTACTAGAATCAGGTGTGCTAGATTAGGGTTGAGTGAAAACCTAGAGGACGGTAGATCTCCAGGAACAGGGTTGGAACCACCATAAAATTGGAAATGTATCAGCCCTTAAGTATTCACAGAAGATACAGTGGGGGAAAAAGTATTTAGTCAGCTACCAATTGTGCAAGTTCTCCCACTTAAAAAGATGAGAAAGGCTTGTAATTTTCATCATAGGTACACGTCAACCATGACAGACAAAATGAGAAAAAAAAATCCAGATAATCACATTGTAGGATTTTTTATGAATTTATTTGCAAATTATGGTGGAAAATAAGTATTTGGTCAATAACAAAAGTTACTCAATACTTTGTTATATACCCTTTGTTGGCAATGACACAGGTCAAACGTTTTCTGTAAGTCTTCACAAGGTTTTCACACACTGTTGCTGGTATTTTGGTCCATTCCTCCATGCAGATCTCCTCTAGAGCAGTGATGTTTTGGGGCTGTCGCTGGGCAACACGGACTTTCAACTCCCTCCATAGATGTTCTATGGGGTTGAGATCTGGAGACTGGCTGGGCCACTCCAGGACCTTGAAATGCTTCTTACGAAGCCACTCCTTTGTTGCCCGGGCGGTGTGTTTGGGATCATTGTCATGCTGAAAGACCCAGCCACGTTTCATCTTCAATGCCCTTGCTGATGGAAGGAGGTTTTCACTCAAAATCTCACGATACATGGCCCCATTCATTCAGTCGTCCTGGTCCCTTTGCAGAAAAACAGCCCCAAAGCATGATGTTTCCACCCCCATGCTTCACAGTAGGTATGGTGTTCTTTGGATGCAACTCAGCATTCTTTGTCCTCCAAACACGACGAGTTGAGTTTTTACCAAAAAGTTATATTTTGGTTTCATCTGACCATATGACATTCTCCCAATCCTCTTCTGGATCATCCAAATGCACTCTAGCAAACTTCAGACGGGCCTGGACATGTACTGGCTTAAGCAGGGGGACACGTCTGGCACTGCAGGATTTGAGTCCCCGGCGGCGTAGTGTGTTACTGATGGTAGGCTTTGTTACTTTGGTCCCAGCTCTCTGCAGGTCATTCACTAGGTCCCCCCGTATAGTTCTGGGATTTTTGCTCACCGTTCTTGTGATCATTTTGACCCAACGGGGTGAGATCTTGCGTGGCGCCCCAGATTGAGGGAGATTATCAGTGGTCTTGTATGTCTTCCATTTCCTAATAATTGCTTCCACAGTTGATTTCTTCAAACCAAGCTGCTTACCTATTGCAGATTCAGTCTTCCCAGCCTGGTGCAGGTCTACAATTTTGTTTCTGGTGTCCTTTGACAGCTCTTTGGTCTTGGCCATAGTGGAGTTTGGAGTGTGACTGTTTGAGGTTGTGGACAGGTGTCTTTTATACTGATAACAAGTTCAAACAGGTTCCATTAATACAGGTAACGAGTGGAGGACAGAGGAGCCTCTTGAAGAAGTTACAGGTCTGTGAGAGCCAGAAATCTTGCTTGTTTGTAGGTGACCAAATACTTATTTTCCACCATAATTTGCAAATAAATTCATAAAAAATCCTACAATGTGATTTTCTGGATTTTTTTCCCTCAATTTGTCTGTCATAGTTGACGTGTACCTATGATGAAAATTACAGGCCTCCCTCATCTTTTTAAGTGGGAGAACTTGCACAATTGGTGGCTGACTAAATACTTTTTTCCCCCACTGTATTTACAGCACCAATCAAATATTTGGACACACCTACTCATTCAAGGGTTTTTCTTTATTTTTACATTGTAGAATAATAGTGAAGACATTAAAACGATGAAATAAGACCCATTATAGGGTGTATCATTCAGCGCGCAAAGCCCTGACCTGCCAACCTCCTAGGCAATTATGTGTGAAACATCTCACTGTCCTAGAAATGCCTCAAGACATGGAAACAAGCCCAGATCCTCCCCAGGGTGAAATTCCCCTTTAACGATTACAAGCATACCCATAACATAATGCAGCCACAACCATGCTTGAAAATATGGATAGTGATACTCAGTGATGTATTGTATTGTATTTGCCCCAAACATAACACTCTGTATTCAGGACAAAAGGTTATTTGCTTTGCCACATCTGTTGCAGTATTACTTTAGTGCCTTGCTGCAAACAGGATGCATGTTTTGGAATATTTTTATTCTGTACAGGTTTCCTTCTTTTCACTGTCAATTAGGTTAGTATTGTGGAATAATTAATCTTGATCCATCCTCAGTTCTCCTATTACAGCCATTAAACTAACTGTTAAAATCACTATTGGTCTCATGGTGAAATCCCTGAGTGGTTTCCTTCCTCTCCGGCAACGGAGTTAGGAAGGACGCCTGTATCTTTGTAGTGAGTGAGTGTATTGATACACCATCCAAAGTGTAATTACTAACTTCACCATGCTCAAAGGGATATTCAACGTCGGCTTTTTTTTTTTACCCATCTACCAATAGGTGCCCTTCTTTGCGAGGCATTGGAAAAACTCCCTGGTCTGTGGTTGAATCTGTGTTTGAAATTCACTGTTCGACTGAGGGACCTTACAGATAATGGCATGTGTGGGGTACAGAGATGAGGTAGTCATTCCAAAATCATGTTAAACACTATTATTATTATTGAGTCCATGCAACAATTGTGACTTATTAAGCAACTTTCTATTCCTGAATTTATTTAGGTTTGCCATTAAATTTGTAAAATTTTAGGAAAACATGATTCCACTTTGACATTATGGGGTATTGTCTGTAGACCAGTGACAGAAAATCTCAACTGAATCAATTTAAGAATTCAGGCTATAACAACAAAAAGTGGAAAAAGTCTAGGGGTGTGAATACTTTCTGAAGGTACTGTATTTCACTAGAACGTTAGTCCATTATCAGCGTAGTTGGTATCATTAAGTAGGATGGTCAACTTTGTGGAAATAATTAGCTATGCTTACAGAAAACAGATTACACAGCTTAAACCTTAAAACACAGGTAGAGATTACTCAAACAGTGAGGACAGGTGATATTGGTTAATTTTTTTGTTAAACAGTTACAGCTTTCTGGCTGCTGAATGTGTCGTAAATGGTTAGACTACTTGGCATGCTTACTAAGACATTATAGACATGGTCGTCCTTGTTTTCTCAATTTACAGCTCTGTGAGAGCCTGTGGTGGCTGACTGGTCTGACCTGGTAGGCACGGATGAGGGATTGGACGGCCAGGTGATCTTCCACCAGCTTCTCCACATTGGGCTGAGCCCCCATCAGGGATTGGGCTTGGGGCAGCCGGGCCAGGCTCAGAAGGCTCTGGTGTGCCTTGCCTGGGGGAGCACCTGCATTGGCATTGCGGAAGAAAACGTCCCAAGACTTAAGGAAAAGAGAGGACAAATAAGAATTGGCATTAATGAACAGTGGTATGAAAGGAGATGGCCAACAAATCCATCTATAACAAACGTAAAACATTTTAGAAGATTACCTATAGTTATGCTTGAAATATTAAAAAAGTAACCGAATGTTACTGCTTCCATTTTCTCTTTTTGATGAAAGTAACCGGTGTGATTAATCTTAGGTTGTTCAAAACAACAACAGAGGGCAAATTCCACATGTTCTTGTCAGAGGGCCAACTAGTCTCATGTTAAGCAGTAGGCTAACTGAAATCTTCTTCATTGTTCCATAGTAAACTGAAAACTAGTAAAGCCCTGACATATTCCTCAAAATGAAACAATCCCCAAAACAATGCAGTTCTCTGGGATTAGGTTATTTAGAAGTTATTGACTTCATACCAAACCGATACTTGAAACTAACACTAGTCACAAGATCCTTCATAGAAAGCTTGATCTACATTGCGGAGATGCGGGAACGGCAGACCCAGCACCACAGTTTGTCCCCACACGGCCGAAACACAATTTATACCGGTGCGATTAAAGGTCAGTTCTGGCAAGGCATCATACGTGTGGTCAGACTGCTCCGAACTCCAATTCACATATAAATGATGCTACTTAGTCTTTAGATATACCACTGAAAAACTGAATATTGTTTGTAGAAATTCTCACCAATAATTCCCCCTTCAACAACTGTAAATTATATTTATTTACATGTTAAGTACTGTACAACTGTCTTGTGACCATGGTTTGGGGGACTAGAATGCCTGAAGCAGTGACTGAAATGTAACACCCTCTTGACTTGGGACACTAACCTGGCTGAACACCAGGGTCAGGGTCACAGCCTCTGTTTCATTCAGAATTCTACATTTAAGTCATTTAGCAGACGCTCTTATCCAGAGCGACTTAGTTAGTTCTACACACATTTCCACTAAAGCGGCTTGAGCTTAAGAACACATGATGAGCTGGAACCATGTAAGGGCTTTCGAAGCTGTGCATGAATCAAACAATTTGAGTTTTGAAGTCTGAGTCAAGAAACAGTGGGTGTTGGTGACATCACACAGCCTACTTTGTGTTGCTACATTTAGGTTACCTAAAGGCCGCTACAAGCTCCACTCGTTTTTTGGGGGGCAGAGGACTCTTTTCATTGCGTTCCACCCAGAGAGGAAGTCCGCGTTCTGTAACGTATATCCACTAGGGGGCTTGGGGAGCCAGAGCAGCTCACCAAGCGACAGGGGCCGAGGCACTATTTTTGGCTCTAGCTAGTGACGACATCTGAACTTCCAATTCGGTGTTATGCTTGTTTACAAATACTAACTAGCTAGATGTCAGTCTGGTGTAATGCTTTACTACTACTTTTTAGCCAAAGAAGCAGAAACAAACATGTCTCTTTTTGAATTGCAATTGCTGCAAAATGTGCAGGAGCTGTCGACAGAAAACATTTGGATACGAGCTCTGGCAAACTCAGGCAGCGAGTACTACAACTACAAGGGCTTTTTCACAATGGTCCTGATGGCAGTCTGTGATGCAAGGTACCGCTTCACCATGATTGACGTAGGCGCATATCGGTCGGGAGGGAGATGCGGGAATCTTCTCACAAAGCAAGTTCGGCTCCTCACTCATTGCAGGCCAGCTGCCGCTACAAAGGCCAGTTGCCGCTACAAAGGCCAGCTTGCTTGGGACACAAACACCGAACCAATATGTCTTCGTGGGATACGAGCCATTCCTTCTGAGGGTAAACCTGATGCGACCATATCCAGGTAAGATATGCATGTGAGACTCATTTCAGGAAACTAGGCGTGTGTCGCACTTCACTACTTAACAGGAGCAGGATTTGAACGTAAACAGTTATATTTTATCCAAATGTGTTTTTTTGGCAGAAATGCCTTCTGGAACATGTGAACTTTCATGTGCCTTAATAACGAACTTGTATTCCATCCATAAATACGAATACAATTGTTATATTACGAGCCTAGTTGGTTTAGCCACAGAAAAAGCTGAGATAATGGATGGGCTGGGCATGCCGGAAGATGACTTTGGATTGGTCTGCAATGTACAGTGGGGAAAAAAAGTATTTAGTCAGCCACCAATTGTGCAAGTTCTCCCACTTAAAAAGATGAGAGAGGCCTGTAATTTTCATCATAGGTACACGTCAACTATGACAGACAAATTGAGAAAAAAAATCCTGGAAATCACATTGTAGGGTTTTTAATGAATTTATTTGCAAATTATGGTGGAAAATAAGTATTTGGTCACCTACAAACAAGCAAGATTTCTGGCTCTCACAGACCTGTAACAACTTCTTTGAGAGGCTCCTCTGTCCTCCACTCGTTACCTGTATTAATGGCACCTGTTTGAACTTGTTATCAGTATAAAAGACACCTGTCCACAACCTCAAACAGTCACACTCCAAACTCCACTATGGCCAAGACCAAAGAGCTGTCAAAGGACACCAGAAACAAAATTGTAGACCTGCACCAGGCTAAGGAAGACTGAATCTGCAATAGGTAAGCAGCTTGGTTTGAAGAAATCAACTGTGGAAGCAATTATTAGGAAATTGAAGACATACAAGACCACTGATAATCTCCCTCGATCTGGGGCTCCACGCAAGATCTCACCCCGTGGGGTCAAAATGATCACAAGAACGGTGAGCAAAAATCCCAAAACCACACGGGGGGACCTAGTGAATGACCTGCAGAGAGCTGGGACCAAAGTAACAAAGCCTACCATCAGTAACACACTACGCCGCCAGGGACTCAAATCCTGCAGTGCCAGACGTGTCCCCCTGCTTAAGCCAGTACATGTCCAGGCCCGTCTGATGTTTGCTAGAGAGCATTTGGATGATCCAGAAGAGGATTGGGAGAATGTCATATGGTCAGATGAAACCAAAATAGAACTTTTTGGTAAAAAAACTCAACTCGTCGTGTTTGGAGGACAAAGAATGCTGAGTTGCATCCAAAGAACACCATACCTACTGTGAAGCATGGGGGTGGAAACATCATGCTTTGGGGCTGTTTTTCTGCAAAGGGACCAGGACGACTCATCCGTGTAAAGGAAAGAATGAATGGGGCCATGTATTGTGAGATTTGTAGTGAAAACCTCCTTCCATCAGCAAGGGCATTGAAGATGAAACGTGGCTGGGTCTTTCAGCATGACAATGATCCCAAACACACCGCCCGGGCAACGAAGGAGTGGCTTCGTAAGAAGCATTTCAAGGTCCTGGAGTGGCCTAGCCAGTCTCCAGATCTCAACCCCATAGAAAATCTTTGGAGGGAGTTGAAAGTCCGTGTTGCCCAGCGACAGCCCCAAAACATCACTGCTCTAGAGGAGATCTGCATGGAGGAATGGGCCAAAATATCAGCAACAGTGTGTGAAAACCTTGTGAAGACTTACAGAAAACATTTGACCTGTGTCATTGCCAACAAAGGGTATATAACAAAGTATTGAGAAACTTTTGTTATTGACCAAATACTTATTTTCCACCATAATTTGCAAATAAATTCATAAAATATCCTACAATGTGATTTTCTGGATTTTCTTTCTCATTTTGTCTGCATAGTTGACGTGTACCTATGATGAAAATTACAGGCCTCTCATATTTTTAAGTGGGAGAACTTGCACAATTGGTGGCTGACTAAATACTTTTTCCCCCCCCACTGTATCTACCTCAAATTACTCCAGTATCCCTGCACATTGTAAATTTGGTATTGGTACCGACCCTGTATTTGGCTCTCTTTTTTCTTATTTCTCGTGTTTTCTTTATTTTATATTTTCTTTTTTTATTGGTTATACTATTTTGATATTAATTACTGCACTGTTGGGTAGAGCTTGCAAGCTAAGCATTTAACTGTACTTGTGCATGTGACAACTTGAACTTGATGACTTTATGGAATGAAAAATAAAGTAATCTAATAAAAACTTTGCAATATACACAAATTGAGAAATGTATTATTGCATAGTATTTTCCTATTTTTCTATTGATGTCTACCCAATGTGGACCTGACCGAGATAATGGAATGTTTTGGGCTTTGGAACAAATAAATAGAAACTCAAAACCGTGATTATTTTTAATAACTGAACCAGACCTCAAAAAGCACTAATCACTCAGCACTACTAACAGAATGCCCCAGAGGGCCTTGTGCCATAGGACTGGCACTGGTCTATACTGCCGACCTGCATTCAGCCTAAAGGCTAGCCTAATAATAGCAGGATAGGCAGACTGTGTGGTCAGAGATCACAGCAGTCCTGTGACAACACTCCAGCAGGTAGCTATAAATACACAACAGGGATCCCAGCAATGTGACCTTGCTGTCAAACAGGTGCCTATGCAGCCGTACATAATTAACCTGGCCTGGCTTTCCTAAATTTAGTGAATTATGTAAACTGGTAATGGTTAAAACCATCAAACAATTAATAAATGCTACAATTGGTGTATGCACGGAAGAGTAAGTAACATGGAAGCAGAACTCATTCTGTAGAAATTGCTTTTGCCACAGGACTAACGTTCGAGAACTGAGAATGTTGGGCTTTCATAGGCAGTATTGGTTAAGAAGTGTTTTGTTTTATTTGGGCATTAACAAAACATTCAAAATCCTTGTAATGCAGATGTGTAATGGGCACTTTTGGGGATGTAGTCTACAAATATTTTATTGCTTGGTATTGCAAGCAGTTTTTAAAATAAACGAAGAAAAATGAATTGTGTATGCTAGGCTAATTATCATAGATGTGTTAACAATTCTGCACTGTAACCCTCATGAATTTCAACCGCAAAAAAAGAGACCCCCCCCAGAGACGGAAAGTGCCGGAACATCTCTCTATAGGAGCTGGATGTCCCTCCAGCACCCCAAAATTCTGGAAGGGCCTTACCTTATGCACACTCTTGGGGTCCTCTAGCCATGAATAGTACATCTCCTCCACGTAATTGGAACTCGTTCCATTGAGGAAAGGCTCGGCAGCCACAGGTGAAGTGTAGCACCTGACTGGCTGAAACGTCTTTGGTACGGCCACAGGCCTCTGCTGTGAAAAGTTCTGAGAAGTCTGAGAGGCCGTCAGCGGCCGCAGCCGTGCAGCACAAGTCCTTAAGCGGTGCATTGCAGTCCTTTAGCACACACAACTCGCCTGTCTCTCCAAAACAACCACAGAGCAGGATGGAGACTCCTTTCACTTCAACCAAACTGCAGTCAAATGATCCACAGGAATCCTATTTCTCCATAGGGCCTTTGCTTTCCACTTGTCAGCGGTCTTTCTTTCCTGACCTGCAAAAGATTGAGAGGTTGTGTGAATATTTAGGCAATGTTAACAGAGTGAGGAAACAAAAAACAGGGCAAAGCCAACTTTGATTTTTTATTTTTTTTTGATTGATGTCATAGCCAGTACTATCCTATACAACAGGGTTCTCCAACCTTTTCTAGCGTGAGAGCTACTTTTAAAAAATGAAATATGTCGCGAGCTACTGTGTTTCTTTTAATAGCTTTCAAATAGGCACATTCTTCTCCTTTACCCTGCAACTCTTCCCCGGGTCCTTGGTGTACAAGGGTGTGTTCTGTCAATATACCTGGTAAAATAAAGTTCACGTTTTATTTTTCCTGTTATTTATTTATTTTTTACTCTCAATATTACAATTATTCAGAGAAACAACGAAGATGGATGTTGAAAAAATGTAAAAACAATGCATGTAGCCTCCTTTCAGAATTGCATGGCAAGCTACTCATAGGTGGGCTGCGAGCTACTGGTAGCTCACGATCTACCTCTCTTGGAGACCCCTGCTATACACAGAGTAATGGAAACTGTCTAAATTAATTAATCATTTGTTTTAAGGGCATGAGAATACTGTTTAATGAGTGCTGGGTTAAAGGCCAAAAACATAATGACTGAAACTTAAGTCAGTCAATCTCAGATAGGCCAAAAAAGAAAATAATAATAAATAATAATAATATTAATAATAATAATAATAATAATGGCCTCGAGGGCCACAATGGGATTTCAAAATTTTATGGAGGGATGCACAGATATATTTATGACCGATTTGTTTGTCAAAATTGATTTGCGGCCAGAAAAAGGCTAGTAGTTTGAAAATATAGGTCCATTGAGTGTGCAAAACATTAAAAACACCTGCTCTTTCCATGACAGAATGACCAGGTGAAAGCTATCAATCAGTTTAGATGAAGGGTAGGAGGTTAAAGAACGATTTTTAAGCCTTGAGACAATTGAGACATAGATTGTGTATGTGTGCCATTTAGAGGGTGAATGGGCAAGACAAAATATTTAAGTGACTTTGAACAGGGTATAGTAAGTAGGTGCCAGGTGCACCTGTTTGTGTCAAGAACTGCAACACTGCTGGGTTTTCCACACAACAGTTTCCCGTGCGTATCAAGAACGGTCCACCCCCCAAAGGACATCCAGCCAACTTGACAACTGTGTGAAGCAGTCCCTTTGGAATGCCCTGAGAAATTGAGGCTGTTCTGAGGCAAAAGGGAGGTGCAACTCAATATTAGGAAGGTGTTCAGAGTAATTTGTACAGAGTTTTTCTCTAGTTTTAGACAAGTATGGACTGGAGTGTTCTTTTACTCCAAATAATCATTTGGGATTTCACACCCCCCCAAATAAATACATGTACTGTAAAACTTTTACAATCAAAAATGCAGTCTCAAATAGCCTCCTGTCCCTTTCAATAGCCGGGCAATGACACAAATTTCAGTAAATAAACGCTGGGTGAACGCTAAATGAATTGTTTACAAGGTTTCATGTTTGATTTGTTACATTAAATAATTCAGTAACGACTCAGAAAAATTGCAATCATCCGTTTTTAATCGCAATTAAGAAACTGCTAGCCATTGGCTGCTAACAGCTGAGAACTGCTAGCTAACTGGCAAGCACAAAAACAGTCAAATGATCTGATCGCCCTCTAGTGGCGTAAAGTAAGAACTGACCAAATGCAGAGCTAAAGAGGAGAATAATTATTGTCCGGAAGAGGTGGGTGAAAAACATCTATCCATCCATCCATCCATCCATACACAGCTGTGGAAAAATTAAGAGACCACTGCACATTTTTCTTAAAATCAGCATCTCTACATGTATGACAGCCATTCCATTCCAGTGTCTGTTGAATTCCAACACAGGCACACCTCATTATACTGAATTAGGTACTGATTAGGTGATCATCTGAACCAAAATCTTATTTAACGAGGAAAAGTATAAAAACCACTGCTGTGGTCATCACTATCCTCTTGCAATAGGACCAGCTGGATGGCAAAAACAGTGCTAATAGTACCTCAAAAGTAATATGAATAAAAAAATAACTATTGACCATGCCAAAAGAGTTGAAAAGGAAAGTTTTGAGTGAGGAAAAGAAGGGTTAAATTCTAGCTTTACTGGCAGAGGGATACAGTGAGCGTCAAGGTTACTTCCATCCTTAAAATGTCAAAAGACGGCGGTTCATGAGAACAAGGTCAAGCAGCAGACATTGGGAACAACAAAGCTACAGACCGGCAGAGGGCGAAAACGACTCTCTACTGACGGGGATGACCGCCAACTCATTCGAATGTCACTCAACATTTGTAGGATGACATCAAGTGACCTACAAAAAGAATGGCAAACGGCAGCTGGGGTGAAGTGCAAGGCGAGGATTGTTCGAAACAGGCTCCTAGGGGCAGAGCTGAAGTCGTGCAAAGCTAGAAAAAAATCCCTCCATCAATGAGAAGCAAAGAAGAGCCAGGCTGAGGTTTGCAAAAGACCATAAGGATTGGACCGTAGAGGACTGGAGTAAGGTCATCTTCTCTGATGAGTCCAATTTTCAGCTTTGCCCAACACCTGGTCGTCTAATGGTTAGACAGAGACCTGGAGAGGCCTACATGCCACAGTGTCTCGCACCCACTGTGAAATTTGGTGGAGGATCAGTGATGATCTGGGGGTGCTTCAGCAAGGCTGGAATCGGGCAGATTTGTCTTTGTGAAGGACGCATTAATCAAGCCACGCACAAGGTTGTCCTGGAAGAAAACTTGCTTCCTTTTGCTCTGACAATGTTCCCCAACTCGGAGGATTGGATTTTCCAGCAGGACAATGCGCCATGCCACACAGCCAGGTCAATCAAGGTGTGGATGGAGGACCACCAGATCAAGACCCTGTCATGGCCAGCCCAATCTCCAGACCTGAACCCCATTGAAAACTTCTGGAATGTGATCAAGAGGAAGATGGATGGTCACATGCCATCAAACAAAGCAGAGCTGCTTGAATTTTTGCGCCAGGAGTGGAATAAAGTCACCCTACATCAATGTGAAAGACTGGTGGAGAGCATGCCAAGACGCATGAAAGCTGTGATTGAAAATCAGGGTTATTCCACCAAATATTGATTTCTGAACTCTTCCTAAATTAGTATTGTGTTGTTTAAAAATGAACATGAACTTATTTTCTTTGCATTAGTCGAGGTCTGACAACACTGCATATTTTTTGTTATTTTGACCAGTTGTCATTTTCTGAAAATAAATGCTCTAAATGACAATATTTTTATTTGGAATTTGGGAGAAATGTTGTCAGTAGTTTATAGAATAAAATAAAAATGTTACTTTTACTGAAACACATACCTATAAATAGTAAAACCAGAGAAACTGATAATTTTGCAGTGGTCTCTTAACTTTTTTCCAGAGCAGTATGTATGAATAAAAAAAAAAATATATATATATATATATATATATATATAAACAGTGGGGAGAACAAGTATTTGATACACTGACGATTTTGCAGGTTTTCCTACTTACAAAACATGTAGAGGTCTGCAATTGTTATCATAGGTACACTTCAACTGTGAGAGACGGAATCTAAAACAAAAATCCAGAAAATCACATTGTATGATTTTTAAGTAATTAATTTGCATTTTATTGCATGACATAAGTATTTGATACATCAGAAAAGCAGAACTTAATATTTGGTACAGAAACCTTTGCTTGCAATTACAGAGATCATACGTTTCCTGTAGGTCTTGACCAGGTTTGCACACACTGCAGCAGGGATTTTGGCCCACACCTCCATACAGACCTTCTCCAGATCCTTCAGGTTTCGGGGCTGTCGCTGGGCAATACGGACTTTCAGCTCCCTCCAAAGATGTTCTATTTGTTTCAGGTCTGGAGACTGGCTAGGCCACTCCAGGACCTTGTGATGCCTCTTACGGAGCCACTCCTTAGTTGCCCTGGCTGTGTGTTTCGGGTCGTTGTCATGCTGGAAGACCCAGCCACGACCCATCTTCAATGCTCTTACTGAGGGAAGGAGGTTGTTGGCCAAGATCTCGCGATACATGGCCCCATCCATCCTCCCCTCAATACGGTGCAGTCGTCCTGTCCCCTTTGCAGAAAAGCATCCCCAAAGAATGATGTTTCCACCTCCATGCTTCATGGTTGGGATGGTGTTCTTGGGGTTGTACTCATCCTTCTTCCTCCAAACACGGCGAGTGGAGTTTAGACCAAAAAGCTTTATTTTTGTCTCATCAGACCACATGACCTTCTCCCATTCCTCCTCTGGATCATCCAGATGGTCATTGGCAAACTTCAGACGGGCCTGGACATGCGCTGGCTTGAGCAGGGGGACCTTGCGTGCGCTGCAGGATTTTAATCTATGACGGCGTAGTGTGTTACTAATGGTTTTCTTTGAGACTGTGGTCCCAGCTCTCTTCAGGTCATTGACCAGGTCCTGCCGTGTAGTTCTGGGCTGATCCTTCAACTTCCTCATGATCATTGATGCCCCACGAGGTGAGATCTTGCATGGAGCCCCAGACTGAGGGTGATTGACCATCATCTTGAACTTCTTCTATTTTCTAATAATTGCGCCAACAGTTGTTGCCTTCTCACCAAGCTGCTTGCCTATTGTCCTGTAGCCCATCCCAGCCTTGTGCAGGTCTACAATTTTATCCCTGATATCCTTACACAGCTCTCTGGTCTTGGCCATTGTGGAGAGGTTGGAGTCTGTTTGATTGAGTGTGTGGACAGGTGTCTTTTATACAGGTAAAGAGTTCAAACAGGTGCAGTTAATACAGGTAATGAGTGGAGAACAGGAGGGCTTCTTAAAGAAAAACTAACAGGTCTGTGAGAGCCGGAATTCTTACTGTTTGGTATGTGATCAAATACTTATGTCATGCAATAAAATGCAAATGAATTACTTAAAAATCATACAATGTGATTTTCTGGATTTTTGTTTTAGATTCTGTCTATTTACATTTACATTTTAGTCATTTAGCAGACGCTCTTATCCAGAGCGACTTACAGTTAGTGAGTGCATACATTATATATATTTTTCATACTTGCCCCCCGTGGGAAACGAACCCACAACCCTGGCGTTGCAAACGCCGTGCTCTACCAACATCCCCGCCGGCCATTCCCTCCCCTACTCTGGACGACGCTGGGCCA